TTATCCTCTCTGCCTGCCAGCCCCACCCATGCTTGCTCCTGCCTCCCTATTGGCTGCTCAGCTCTTTATTAGGACCACCAGGGTGTTTTACACAGGCAAAGAATCACAGCTTCACAGAGTTAGACAAATGAAGCATAAACAAACACTTGAAAATAATATTTTGCCACAGTGTACACACGCACATGCAAGTGCATGTACACACACACAGGTGCACACACACATGCCATATACTCACACATGCACACACACATGCCACATACACACACATGCACACACACATGCCACATACACACAAATGCACACACACATGCCACATACACGCATGCACACACATGCCACATACTCACACATGCACACACACATGCCACATACACACACATGCGCACACACATGCCACATAAACACACATGCACAGTCACATGCACACACACATGCACATGCACACACGCACACAGAGGAGGAGAAGAGAAGCTTTGATGGGAAGAAGCAGCTCAGCAAGCAGGAGAAAGATGAGAGCGTAATGGGGGAGGGTGACAAAAATACATTATATAATATATACATACATGAAACTGTCAAAGAATTACTCTTTTTTTTTTTTTTTTTTTTTTGGTTTTTTGAGACAGGGTTTCTCTGTATTGTTTTGGAGGCTGTCCTGGAACTAGCTTTGTAGACCAGGCTGGCCTCGAACTCACAGAGAGTTCTCGAACTCACCAATGCCCGGCTACTCTTTTTTTTTTTTTTAAAGAATGGTCTCACACCTGGGCGTGGGTGGCGCACGCCTTTAATCCCAGCACTCGGGAGGCAGAGGCAGGTGGACTTCTGTGAGTTCGAGGCCAGCCTGGTCTACAGAGTGAGTTCCAGGACAGCCTCCAAAACAATACAGAGAAACCCTGTCTCAAAAAACCAAACCAACCAAACAAACAAACAAAAGCCAACAAAACAATAACAACACAAAAGAATGGTCTCACTATGCATTTCTGGCTGGCTAGAAATTTGCTGTGCAGACCAGGCTAACCTTGAACTCAAAGATCTGTCATCCTCTGACTCCCAAGCACTGGAATTAAAGGTGTGTGCCACCATACCCCAGCAACAGCAAGAAGGGAGAAGGAAAAAGGAGGAGGAGGAGGAGGAGAAGGAGGTAGTAGACTGTGATGATCAGTGGCAAAGTGTTTATTTTACGTGCACAAAGGCCCTGGGTTCAACTCCCAGCACCACCGCTACCTTCATTAACCCAGTCCCTCCCACACAGAGACTGGAGAGCGCCTCTCACAGGGAGAAAACCTCGGACTTTGGAAGAACTGGAACTGCAGTCAACTTGTGGCCCCACCTGAGCCTTGCCAGCCTGGGGTGGCGCTCAGTGTTGCAGAGGTAGGTGGATTTGGGTCGCCAGCCCTCACCTGCACCTCCCCATCCCCTCCCCTCCCCCCACCGAGTGCTCCACGGGAACGGAAACTGCAAAGCCAGACAGCTGGCAAGAGATCCCACTCACCTGCAGGGCACCCCTGAGGCCTCCCGTTCCTTAGCAACCAGCACCTCCTGCAGAGGCCAGATCTCAGTGTCCCCTTTCTAGAGGCTCCATCACCTGACCCACCCCCACCCCACACGCCCACCTGCCCGATGGCCTGTTGGCGGTTGCAGGAGCTGGAAAAGCATTGGGAGCTGTAGGATCCCTGGAGAGTGCCACCCTGGTCGGCGTGAAAGAGTCTAAGTCTCTTTTCATACTGGGTCTCACCAGAGCAGAGGACACCAGGGATGTATACACACACGCGCGCACACACACACACACACACACGTGCGCACACTACATTTTCCCTCTCACACAGGGGCTTCGGGACAGTCTCCACCGGGCTATTTCGCGGGCCCTTCTTTCCGAAGAAGAACCTGTAACTCAGGGATTCACATCAGGACATCAGGACACAAGCCTCGAGACCCGTGACACTCTGGAGACCTGGCAGTGGGAGACGGAAGTACAAGGGCAGCTTCCTTTGCGCTGAGTTGAGGTTTGGTTTATGTTTCGATTTTCCGTGCAGGCAGGCTCAACACCTCTTCCATCTCAGGCCTTGAGTTCAGTCGCTTCCCGGGCAAACCCACAAAAAAAAAAAAAAAAAAAAAAAGGATCGCAAGAGTAGGCTGCCCTCTGCAGGGCATGGAAGGATATGCACCCAGCCTCTGTAGCAAAAACTTGGTGTCTGCACATTGGGAATTCAAGAGCTGGAGAGCCATGGCTGCGACATTTGGAATAAATCTGGTTTGGTTTGGTTTAGTCTATAATCCAGGCTGGCCTCAAATCCTGCCTCCACCTCCTAAGTGCTGGGACTACAATCGTGGGCCGCCATACCCAGTTTATATAGTCACAGAGAGCGTACACAGGGTTCCTGAGGCCCTGAATTCAATAGGCCCCCCGAAAGGCGGTGAGTGCATGTATTTGAGTTCAGGACACAAATGAACACAGAGAACCTGTGACTGCTACTCTTTAGTAGCTAAAACAACACACAAAATGACCTAGGGTGTGGGGTGGGGAGGGGGATGCTTGTCTGTAATCACAGCACTTAAGAAACTGAGCCAGGAGGACTGATGGGATTCAAGGCTGCACTGAACCATGCAGAGCTCCAGGCCAAGCAGGGCGGCAGGGCAACATCTTGTGTAAAAAGTTACATACTTTCTTACATTCCTACTGGCCAGATGTCCAGGGTAGGCCTCGCTGAGCTAAGCCAAGGGAGCAGACTTGCACTGTCTAGGGGCTCAGGAAGGCTCTGTATTTCTTGGTTGCTGGTACCTTCATCTTCAAAAGCAGAGGTACTCGCTTTCAGACCTCTGTCTTCACTCTGCCTCTCTCTGATCTTTACAACTGGCACCGAATTTTTATAAAGACCCTGGGGAAGGTTGGAGCTGGGCTGGGCTGGGGCTGGGGCTGGGGCTGGGGCTGGGCTGGGCTGGGCTGGGCTGGGCTGGGCTGGGCTGGGGCTGGGGCTGGGCTGGGGCTGGGGCTGGGCTGGGGCTGGGGCTGGGCTGGGGCTGGACTGGGCTGGGGCTGGGGCTGGGACTGGGGCTGGGCTGGGGCTGGGCTGGGGCTGGGCTGGGGCTGGGCTGGGGCTGGGGCTGGGGCTGGGCTGGGGCTGGGGCTGGGCTGGGGCTGGGTAGGTAGAGTGTTTTCATAGCACACATGAAGTACTAGGTTCAACCCCAGCAGTGCATAAACTAGGCATGGTGGAACATGCCTATAATTCTAGCAGAAGAATCAGAAGTTCAGTGTCTTCTCAGACTACAAAGAGAATTCAAGGCCAGCCTGGGTTACCAGAGACTCTGTCTAATAAAAAAAAAAAAAGCCAAATGTAGTGGTGTATACAAGAACTCAGAGGCGAGTTCAAGGCCAGCCTGGTCTACAAAGCAAGTTCTAGGCCAGAGATAGATATATTAAGATCCTATCTGAAAAGGGGCGGGGGGGGGGTGAGGCTTGAGTGATGGCTCAGCAGTTAAAAGCACTTGTTGATCTTGCAGAGGACTGGGTTCAGTTCAAAACACCCACATGGTGAGTGGCTCACAACTCCTTAACTCCAGTTCCAGGGGAACCAAAGCCCTCTTCTGAGCTCTGTGGGCAGTGACCACAATGGTGCTTCTACATATTCATATACATAAGCTAAATGCACCTAACAAGAAAGAAAATTTCAACAAGGCAGTGGTGACGAATGCTTTTAATCCCAGCACTCCGGAAGCAGAGATAGACAGATCTCTGTGAGTTCGAGGCCAGCCTGGTCTACAGAGCAAATGCCAGGATAGGCTCCAAAGCTACACAGAGAAACCCTGTCTCGAGAAACGAAAAAAACAAGAACAAAAACCAAACAAAAAAACCACAGTGGTGGCCACTAGCAATCTCACCACTGGGAAGGCAGACAGACTCTGGCTCACTGTTCAGCCAGGATAGAATAATTGTCAAGCTTCAGGCCCGTATGATACCCTGTCTCAAAAAACACAAAACAACAACCAGCCAACTAACTAACGAAGAAAGACACTAAAACACAAGACACTTAACCCTACAAGATAATGGGATGGGCCAAAATGCCCCCTGAGTAAAGACTTAGCTAGAGCCCAACGGATGTCCTTCAGGCTAGATACGAGCTGACTGCGAATGAGCTGTCTCTGGCAAGCTTGCACACACACGGTGAGCCCTGGTACAGTGGCAAGAGCGGGACCAATCCTGACACACAGTGTGACTCCCTCAGTAACAGGGAGACCCCGTGACCACGGCAACTCTTACACAGAAAGCATCTAACTGAGGCGGCTCACGGTCCAGAGGTTCAGTCCGTTATCATCACGGTGGGGAGCCTAGAAGTCCGTGTGTACACAGACGGGGCGCGGGCTACATTGTCATCAGAAGGCAACAGGAAGTGGAATGTGGCACTGGGCAGTATCTTGGACATAGGGAACCACGAAGTCCTGTATCGTCCGTCCCCCCATACTTCCTCCAACAAGGCCACACCCACTCCAACAAAGTCACGCCTCCTAATAGCGCCACTCCTATGAGCTTGTGGGGGCCAATTACATTCAAACCACCACACCTGGCGAACCTCTCCTGACACCCGAGCTTGACGGTTCAATTTTCAACCTGACGGAATTAATAAACACCCCAGGCCCTTATTTCTTTAGTGAAGAGACTTAAGAGAAGATGAGCTGAGTGTGGGCGGTGCCATGGGCTGGGGGCTGGTCTGGATGGAAAGGAGGAGGGAGAGCCAGCAGAGGCCCCAGCCTCCCACTGCCTTCTGAGCTCCCTGACTGTCACCACAGCCAGGAGCTCCTCCCAACTACCTGGTGAGCTGTCCCCCTAAAGCCGTGAGCCAAAACGAACCCTTGCTCGCTTGAGTTATTTGGTCACAGAAACCAAGGGAGAACGCTTGCTGCGTGTATTTCCACACCCCCGGGGGCGGTGCTGTTTTAACTCAGTACGCTCCCACCCCATCAGCGGTGAGTCAGGCAGACTTGGCTTTCAGCTGGTGTAACAACTGTCCCAGCAGAGCCCTTGCAAAAGCAAAGCCCAGGGAACTAATCCAATAAAAAAAAAAAAAAGAAAGAAATAGGCAATCAGGCTCAGAGTGCAAACAAAAAAGACTGAAGGATGAGCCGGGAGCTGGTGCCGCTTGCAGGAGGAAAACGGACCTCTCGATCGTAATGAAGAGTGCACAGGAAAGGCACAGACGGGAAGCACTAGTCTGGCGGATAGCAATCGGCCCTTCAGATTCCCTGGCTGGGGTCACGCGGAGCTGAGCAGAACTACTTCTGCCAAGGGCATCAGACGTTCCAGACTTCAGCCAGCTCAGACAAACCAGGAAGCCGCCCCGCAGCCACCAGACGGCCACGGGGAAGGTGTGTGCACCCCTTCGCACCACCTGCAGGGAGCTGACGAGGGGGCAGCAGCTAGAGCACAGCTTCTCCGCAAACCTCCACCATTAAAGGAGTGGAGCGCGCACGGGGGGGGGGGGGGGGTGCTGGAGAGATGGTTCCGTGGCTAAGGGCTAAGAGCACTTGCTGTTCTTCCAAAGGACCAAGGGCCTTCTGACCTCAGCAGGTTAAAACTAAAAATAAGATTTAAGGGCCCTACTGAGACTGCTCCGTGGGTGAAATTGCCTGCTGCCGAGCTGGATCCCTGGGCCCCACAGAGCAGGGGAGGAGCAAATCCTGCAAGTTGTCCTCCTGGGTCCTCCAGCCATGCACTGCGGCATGCGCCTTCCACCATACACATAAGTAAATACATCTAATTTATTATTTACTCAATTGATTATCCCTACTGGCTAGGGACATTGTTCGGTGGTACTTTTTTTTTTTTTCAGACAGGGTTTCTCTGTATTGTTTTGGAGGCTGTCCTGGAACTCGCTCTGTAGACCAGGTTGGTCTCAAACTACTCACAGACATCCGCCTGCCTCTGCCTCCAGAGTGCTGGGATTAAAGGCGTGCACCACCACCGCCCGGCTAGGGTCCTGGATTTTATTCCCAGCATTAATAACAACAATACCATAAGTAACAAAAAGATACTTTTTTTTTTTTTTTTTGGTTTTTCGAGACAGGGTTTCTCTGTATTGTTTTGGAAGCTGTCCTGGAACTCGCTTTGTAGACCAGGCTGGCCTCCAACTCACAGAGATCCACCCGTCTCTGCCTCCCGAGTGCTGGGATTAAAGGCATGTGTCACCAACGCCTGGCTCAAAAAGATATTTCTAAGAAACACGTTTCAATATTTCTTTTTTGTTCGTTTTGTTGTCAGGGTTTTCCTGTGTGGTTCTGGATTTCCTGGGACTTTCTATAGACCAGGCTGGCCTTGAACTCAGAAATCTCTCTCTCTCTCTCTCTCTCTCTCTCTCTCTCTCTCTCTCTCTCTCTCTCTCTCTCTCTCTCTCTCTCTCTCTCTGGGAGATGTCATTCTGGAATCTGTTGGCCAATAGGGAAGCAAGATAGGTGGGACTAGGAGTCGAGGAGGACTCTAGGAAGGAGAAACACAGGGAGCCACGATGTAGCTGCCATAGGGGTGAGAGGTCCGGACCCTTTCTCCGGTAAGAGAAATACTTAGATTAACAATTATGGAGTAAATACTTAAGTCAGAGATAGCCAGTAAGAAACCAAACAAACGGCCAACAGCTTCATAATTAATATAGCCTCCTGTGTGTTCATTTGGGATGATGGGGCTCTAGAACCAGGCTGGTGGGAAGGCTTCTCTCTCTTTCTCTCTCTCTCTGATGTTTGGATTAAAGGTGTGTGCCACCAAGCCTGACTTCACTATTTATCTTTAAGGATGCAGATGTGGTGGGCCATCATAGGTTTATAGATGTGAATGCTTGGTCACCAGGGAGATGCACTATTAGGAGGTGTGGCCTTGGCCTTGTTGGAGGAAGTGTAGGCTTTGAGGCTTCAAGGGCTCAGGCCAGGCCGGTGTCTCTCTTCTTGCTGCCTTCAGATCCAGACCTAGAACTCTGAAGGTAACTCTCCAGCACCATGTCTTCCTGTATGCTGCCGCCATGTTTCCTGCCATGATGTTAGAGGACTAAACCCCTAAGCTGTAAGTCAGCCCCAATTAAATGGGTTCCTTTACAAGAGTTGCTGTGGTCATGGTGTCTCTTCTCAGCAACAGAACACTGAGACAGAGAGACACCGACAGTCAGACAGACAGCGTTTCACCCTCTGGCGCTGGCCTTACAGGACACTGTGTGCTGTCCAGTGTGGATGCTGAGAACCCAACTTGGGTCCTCCGGAAGAGCAGCGAGCACTCTTGAGGGCTGGAAAACATCTCCAGCCCCTGACTTCTTTGATTTGTTTGCTTAAAACAACAAAAACAGAACTGTCCACTTACTTTGCATGCCCCAACAAAGAAGTCACAGCAGTTATGTTATATCCACAGGGGTCTCCAGACTATCCTGGAACTCCTGACTACAGTCCAATTCCCCTGCCTCAACCTCCCAAGCACTGGGGTTTACAGACATGAGCTACCTTAGCTGGCTAATTTTTCTTTATCAGGCTCCACATCCTCATCGATCATCGCCTCACTGTTGATTAACCAGCCAAGGGCCTCAGGAGGAAATTCACCCCAGGCCACAGCTGCTCTTACTCTGATCAGCACAATGCTTGCATTTTCTTGGAGAAGCAAAAAAAACTTTGTGTCACGACACAGAGCTCAAATCCTTGCTACCTGATCTTGGACACTAAGTCCTAGGAGATGTGCCTAGAAACATGGTTTAGGAGATGGCAGCATCATCTTTGGTTTTGTTTTTGTTTTTGTTTTTTGAGACAGCGTCTCACTGTGTAGCCCCGGATGTCCTGGAACTTGCTATGTAGCCCAGGCTGGCCTCCAACTCACAGAGATCCACCTGCCTCTGCTGCCTGAGTGCTGAGATGAAAGGCGTTTGCCGCCTTTTTTTGAGGTACTTTTATGAGGTGGGTGAGTTAAAAGCAAAGCCAAGAAATCTCCACTACAGACTTCAGAGGCTACTGAACTTTCAGTGGATGGGGAGACAGATTTCTGTACAAACCAAAGGGTTTACTTAATGGCCAAGGTCACAAAGATGTTGGCTGAAGTACAGAGGAGGGCAAAAAAATGGCTGAGCGGGCTAACGGTGGCCCAAGATAATTAGACTCTGGATCTGCAACACTCCCACTCTGCATAGCCACAGAGGTTCTCACCAGTCCATCAGCCTTGCCCAGTGCAGCCGTTCTTTCCAGAAACTTCTGTCCCTAGCATCTGAGAGCATCTCTGTGTGCCTGCACTGGTAGTGCAAACAACGCGATTTGTGCTAAACACATACCTGCCTTCCTTCTGGGAGTCAGGTAGCCAGGACCTAGGCTGACGCAACACCTGGGATCAGACCCCAGTGAAACCCTTCTATGCCGGGTCCGCACACAGTACAGGTGGCTGTGGAAGTATGACCTGTGTGTGTGGCCCCGAGTTGCAGTTCCGCCTAGGTAGCTCTACTCACAGCTGGGTGCTGCCCTTGCAATCTGGCAGTGAACTGGAATAAGCCTTAGCCATGAGTATGACTGCATGCTCGGTCAGTCCTGCCAATCATTCTGGGAGATGTCCCGTTCGGGGATGGTCCTTGGGTCCCCCTTGGACACAAGCTGCTGCTACAGATGTCATCCTCAGCCATCATCCCCATCCCATCAGCTGAGACCTGAAAGCTGGGCTTGTTGGCATTCCCTCACAGGAGGGGGTGAGGAGGGTCACTGCTCCCTCAGCCGATTCCACGGGCTTCCCCTTGCAGGCAGCTGTATGCGCTCCTGCAGGTCTTGGGAGATGCTAGGGCATACACTGGGTGGAAGGGTTGCTAAGTGAGGCTCCATCTGTCCTTCCTGGAGAGACTTTTTGGTGGAACAGCTCCTTTTGGGTCATCCACATCCCCGAAAGCCAGCCCTCACCCGTGCTCTGTTTTCCAAATTGGGTTTTGGTGATCTTCTTTTTTTGTTTTTGTTTTTGGTTTTTACGAGACAGGGTTTCTCTGTATTGTTTTGGAGGCTATCGGTCCAGCCAGGCCTCAAACTCGAAGAGAGATCCGCCTGCCTCTGCCTCCCGAGTGCTGGGATTAAAGGCGTGCGCCACCACCACCCGGTGGGTTTTGGTGATCTTCTAATTTGCTGTGTTGTCGGTGCCCCATGTGGAATGAGTAGGCATGCAGAGGTCAAAGGGCAACTTTAGGAGCCAACTTGCTCCTCCACCGTGTGAGTCCCTGTGCCTTTACATGCTTGAGTCACGTTGCCAACCTCCTGTATTTCTATTTTACTCACTCGATCCTGCACGCGCACGCGCGCGCACACACACACATATACGCACACACGCATGGGCACACACACTTTTTATGACTATGGTTTTACATGTATGATTGTATACCATGTGCATGCCTGGTGCCTTTGGAGGCCAGAAGAGACTGTCAGATCCCCTGGAATTGGAGCTATAGACGAAAGATGCCATGTGGGTGCTGGAAATTGAATCTGGGTCCTTTGGAAGAACAGTCAGTGCTCTTAACTGCTGAGTCATCTCTGCAGCCAGATAACTGAGCATGAACAAGCACACTTGCGCACACACTTACCACGCAGTCGTATGCAGTCTCAGCAGGCTCCAAACTATCAGTCATTCTGTCTCAGTCTCACGAATACAGGCACTACAGGCACATATGGCTCCACACAGCCAATAGTTTTGCTATTACGGTTGTTTTGAGGCAGGGTCTCACCGTGTAATGCTGGAGCTCACTTTGCAGATCAGACTTCTCTGCCTCTTCACTGTCCCATTTTATTTTGGGGGGCAGGGCTTCACTGAGTTGCTCAAATTAGCTTTGAACTGTTACCTCAACAGGTCTTAGAACTTTTCAGCCACCCTATCTGAGCCTCTCAAATAGCCAACTGGGACCAGAGCCCTGTGGCTGCCACTGTCCCCTCGCCACCTCTACCTGCAGCACTGGGGATAGAACCCAGGACCTCCTGCACACTAGCCAAGCACTGTGCGACTAAGTGGTCTTCCTAGCTCTAACCCAATCTTGCATTTTTTCAAGATTTATTTATTTATTTATTTATTTATTTATTTATTTATTTATTTGTGAGACAGGGTCTCACTATGAAGCCCAGGCTGTCCTGGAACCCACTCTGTAAACCAGGCTGGCCTTGAACTCAAGAGATCACCCTGCCTCTGTCTCCCAAGTACTGGGATTAAAGGAGTGCCCCACCAAACCCAGCTCAAGACTGTTGGGGACAGAGGTCCTTGTCCTCACAGAGAAGCACTAAGAGGACCAGGAAAGTCAATCATGCAGAGGTGTCCCCTCAATGGAGGGGATAAAACCAAATGCCTGCATTCCACCCAGAGAGCAGAGTGGAGGTTGTGAACGGCCTGACAACTTTTCTGCCATCTGAAGGGGCAGACCTCACCCTAACCCCCAAGAATGATTATCCCAGACTCTCCCTCCCAAGACCATTACCAGAGACCACGCTAGATTCTAGGTCACACGTACTGTATAAAGGAGTTCCTATGTAGCCACACCGTGAGCTTTACTGTGCACCTGGAGTTGGACTGACTGTTGCCTGGAAACCTTTCCCCGGAACTGTGCTTTAAACATGCCGACAATGAACGTCTGGCATTAGACTGCTCAAGTCAATCTGCACTGGGTTTTCACTCTTCCCCAGTCGCTTCCCTGTAGGACACCTTCAGGGATCCCTCACGAGACACTACTTCTAATGAAGCCTCATAAACCTATCATCTTTGGTATCCACCGTGCTGTGTAACCTCCACCGTCGATCTCCACGCCTTTTCCTTGGCAATGCTGAAGCTAGACTCACTAAGGGTCTCACTGCCCCATCTCCTACAGCCCACCATTCTGTTGTCTTTATAAGCTTTGGCTGGTAGGTACCTCATGCAAGTGGAGCCATATGGCAGTTAACTCTTTACTGGCTGGCTTATGTCACTCAACACATACCCTGCAGGTTCACCCACCCATGCTGTAGGATGTGCTACCATTAAAGGACGAATACCATTCCACTCTGTGTGGTAATCACATTTCCTGTTTGTTTTTTTTTTTTTCTTTTTGAGACAGGGCCTTACCATATTGCTTCAGATGGCCTAGAATTATGCTGGCGTTGACTTCCCACAGCTTAAAAGGAGAGACACGGCACAGCCGTCAGGAAGCAGACCAGAGGTGGGTTCCCAACCTTCAACACATGTCCCTTCCCTGTTGACACAGTAATGTCCAGGAATCCTACAAGCGGTGATGAGATACGGCTTCCTCCTATGAAGTCACTGGCTGTGAGGGACAGGCTGCTCGGCTACCTTCCGCCCACACAGCCCCACGGCCTGTCCTCAGCAAGAAGCTCCTGGGAGGATGCAAGCTTGGGGACGCGGGACTGGTTTCTCTTCGTGCCGAAGCTGTAGTGTGACAGTCAACCATTAACCCCGGTGTTCACAGCCTGCGTGGCCCTGCCCCCACGTGTGTGCTGGAAGCAGTGACCGGCACGCCGGCAGAAGGCAGAAGTGGCAGGACGGCCTTTTTGTGAGTTGGGAGAGATCAGGGTTTGCCTTTGCTTGCTTTGATGAACACGGCTGCCCTGTTCTGAGTTGCCCCAGGATAGCCCCTTGTGACAAGGGACAGAGGACGGTTTTCGTTCGATTCCTGCTCACAAGGGGTGCTGGCTGAGAAAAGAATTACAATTAATTCTGTAGCTGGGGGGGCTGTAGAGATGGCTGGGGGCCAAGAGAACTCGCTGCTTGTGGTCTGAGAATGCTCCCATAGGCTGGACCTGCTTGGGAAGGGTTAGGTGTGGCCTTGATGAAGATGTGTCACTGGGGATGGCTTTGTGGCTTCAGAAGCACCAGCCAGGGGTTGGAGAGGTATCTTAGTGGTTAAGAGCACCAGCTGCTTTTCCAGAGGTTCTGAGTCCAATTCCTACAACTGTAGTTCCGTGGGATCTGATGCCCTCTTCTGGTGTGCACACATGTAAATAAAGCATCTATATACATAAAATACATAAATAATAAATACATCTCTAAAGCCCAAGGCATTTCCAGTGAGCTCTGTTGGATCAGATGTAAGTGCTGTCACCACTCCATGCCTGCCAGCTGCCATGACTCACCATCTGGAAAGCCCCAGCAAACCCTTAAATATGCTGCCTTGGTCATGGTGTCTCTTCACAGCAAGAAAAGGTATCTAAGACACTGCAAACTCATCAGATGGTTCTCAACTGCCCGTAACTGCAGTTCATGAGGATCCAGCGTCCTTCTGACTCCCATGAGCTCTGCAAGCACTCGGTGTACAAAGACAAGCACACATACACAGAAATGACTAAAAAATAAAACGCTGTCATTAGATACGATGATGGTTATCCGACCTTATGCACATTACACATCACACACACACACACACATACACACACACACACACATCACACACCACATTGGTGAGTTTGAGTCAGATGCTGAGGTTGGAAGAGCAAGAGCTAGAGGCCACCATGGAGTACATAGTATAAGCTGATCTTTTTGTTTTTAATTTTATTTATTTATTACGCATACTGTGTTCTGTCTCCATGTGTCCCCGCATGCCAGCAGAGGGCGCCAGATCTCATTATGGATGGTTGTGAGCCACCATGTGGTTGCTGGGAATTGAACTCAGGACCTCTGGAAGAGCAGCCAGTGCTCTTAACTGCTGAGCCATCTCTCAGCCCTATGAGCGCAATTATTTACTATCTCAATAGCAAGTGTGAGCTCTCACGGAAGACAGTCCACAGAACTTAAGCGTTCTCTCAGACAAGAGAGCTAAACAGAAGCCACTAGGAGGATGGAGGTTTCCTTCACTGTAACTGCCAGGAAAACCATGGCAGAAGTTCCCAGTAAACATTCTTTACTTCTCTAAATATGCTTTTATTAATCGACAAACGACAGTCTTTACTTCATTTCATGACATGGAACTGGCCGCTCCTTGGCAGGAATGGCAGAGGAAGAGGACTTGTTCAACAAAGCATTTCAGGAGAAGCTGAAGTCTCACGAGAGTGCGGTGGCGGATTCTCGCTGTCCCAGCATTCTAGAGACAAAGGCAGGAGCATTGTCTAGGGTACAGAGTCCAGGCCAGCCAAGGCTGCATGTCAAGACCCCATCTCAAAAGACGGGTGCACTTCAAATCGTGCGTTGCGCACTCTCTAACTCAACACTGGAGGTGGGGGTGGGGAGGGGGTGGGCGACAAGTCCAAGGCCAGCCTGGGCTACACAGTGAGACCCTATCTCACAACAACGGCGTCTCAGCACCCTCACTTTCCAGATCCACACGTGGAGTGGCTTCTGCTTCCTGATCCTATGTAGTGAAACATACTCCATAGCTAGCAAGAGTCCTGAGTGACACATGGCGTTCAAGGCAGACTCTTCCCATGAGGAAGAGGGACATGATTGTAAGAAGCCGAGGAAGGTGGGTGGCCAAACACCCGAGGGTTATAGCTGAGACAGGCTTCCCTTGTTCTCTAACTCTCAACCGTGAGGATCCGTAAACACCAACTCCGCCAGACTCAACGTCATTCAACGGTTATAACGGGCAGCCGCTCGAACCAGCTCTGCGATGTGACCAGATGTGTTTCCCGGAGATGTGGGCCTCATCAAATACTTCGGTAGTCAGAGCCTCGGGCCACAATGGCAGCGGCGTCCCACTCCACAGTGAAGAAAGAGATGGTTCCAAAGAACCCAAATACCACCATGACCAGGAGCTGCCAGTGCAGGAGGAGGTAGTTGCTGTAGAAAAAAGCCACAGCTGCGCAGATCGACTGGAATAGACCAGATGGATCATCAAGTGAGCCCAGCGCCTCGGAACTCCAGCCAGCCTGCTGCTTCTGCCCCTAAGGACACCTGCGCCTGGCAGTGCCCATGGAGACAGACTTCACTGGTCACCAGCCCTGACTGTACCCAGCTCGCCCGACAGCAACAATAAGCCGTGGGCGCTACAGTTAACACGGTAACGTGCCCAGAGTGAGGATGAGTCTGTATGACGAGAGAACAGGTCCTGAGTGCAGAGACCAGAATTAAAATCTCTCACCCAGCCAGGCATGCTGGCGTAGCCTTTAATCCCAGCACTCAGGAGGCAGAGGCAGGCGGGCCTCTAAGCTCAAGGCTGGCCTGGTCTACAAAAAGAGTTCCAGGATATCCTCGGCTACACAGAGAAACCCTGTCTTTGTCTCTAGAATGCTGGGATGGGGAGAACATGCCACCACACTCACTGGCGTGAGACTTTAGCGTCTCTTGAAAACAAAACAACTCTCACCCAACCAAGCCCACTACACCTGGTTCTACAGGATGCCCAACTTTCATTTAAAACCCTGGGGAAGAGTGGCCAATGCAAACATGAAGGAAAAGGACTACAGTGCAATCCAGTTACCTGAACAAACTTGAAGACTGCGAAGGCTGGAGCACTGTCTTCTGAGTAGAGAAAACCCAAAATGCTAAGCAGCTGGGTGTTGAAGCAGCTGTCCCCCAGACCCAGCAGGAAACTGCAGAGAATGGCAACTTCTTTGCTGAAGGAAAAAAAAAAATACATATAAGACTAGAAAGATAGCTCAGTGGTTAGGGGTGCAGGACTGGAAAGATGGCCTAATGGTTAGGGGCATGTGCTGCTTCTGGAGCAGGATCTGAGCTTGGTGCCCAGAAACCACTTCTAGTGGCCCACAACCACTGGTCACTGCAGCATCAGATGACCTGACACCGACTGCTGAGCTCCAACATTCACACCACACACACACACACACACACACACACACACACACACACACACACAACTTAAATAAAAAATAGCCGGACATTGTTGGCGCACACCTTTAATCCCAGTACTTGGGAGGCAGAGGCAGGCGGATCTCTGTGAGTTCGAGGCCAGCCTGTTCTACAGAGTGAGTTCCAGGACAGCCTCCAAGACAATACAGAGAAACTATGTCTCGAAAAACAAACAAAACAAAACAAAATCCCAAAGCTCAGGAGGCAGAGGCAGGCAGACCTCTACGAGTGAGTTCCAGGACAGCCAGGGTTATGTAGGGTTTCTACCCTGTCTCAGAAAAACAAAAATAAAAATGAATCTTTAAAATCAAATGAATGTGTAGCACCAATATTATTACCACCAGAATACAGAAACACAGCTCCCAGCAAAAGCACCGTGCACTTGTTTTTATTAGGTGAAGGGGTTGCTGGGACTTTTGAATGCCGGGCAGCGCCCTGCCACTGAATTACTTCACAGCCCTGCTTTGAGACAGGGCTCCAATACAGAATCCAGGCTGGCCTGGAATGCGTGACCCTCCAGCCTCAGCCTCTTCAGAGCTAAAGCCACAAGTGTGCACACATACCCCAAACAAGAACAAATACTAACATTCCTGAGGCCTCATCTGTGCGACTGGGATTAAACCTGGGGCCTTGTAAATTCCAGGCTGACATTTCACACTCTGTCAGAACCCAGCCCACGTCCTAGAATCCATGCAGTAAGAACGGTGCTCAAATGCACAGATCTCTGTGTTCTGTGTTCTAGCAAACTCTGGTCTACTCTCTGGAAAGCAAATACTGTCTTTGGGGTCCCTTGGGTTGTGGGTTTATCCACAGACACTGCATCTGTATTGAGCCAACATCCTTACGCCATGACACAGGCAGGGTCCGTGTCGTTCCTCTTTGTCCCTCCTCTGACACTGGAGAATGAAATTCTGATCAGACACTCCTGCACTCTTGCACAGACCAAGGGAGGGCCGGCAGGGGAAAGGTTAAGAGTAACCATTGCAAAACTCCCTTGGGACTCGCTGGGTCCCCGAGTCAACTCCTCCTAGCTCCATCTCCACCTGACAGAAGAGCACACAAAGCTGACAAGACTCTAAGGAGGACTAAGTGCTCCACTCAGACCTCCAGCCATTCACCCCTGCCCACCCTCCACCACTCAGAAAACGGCAGCCAGTGTACCTGGGCCTGATGTACGCAATGCTGTTAGTCCCTTCCATGGGGGCAATGGGGGCATCGCCAGGCATGTTGAGAAAGATCAGGTAGAAGGCTACGAAGTGCACCAGGGTGCCCAGCAGCACGACTGGATTTCTCCCAAAGCGACTACTCTTGCTCAGCAGGCCGAAGAGGCTTCCACCTGTGGGTGAAGCAAACACTTCAGAGGTCTCCACCCGTCACCAAACCCGTCACAGGCTATAACGCGGAGCCAGGGAATAAACTCTCAGATGTCCAATGCCTGCCCCCAAACAGGCCTGCAAGGTCAACAGCAGGGACGACCGCAGCACTCACAACCGGCTGGCCATCCATATCAGCTGTCTTTCTAGACAGCGCCCTTCCTGCTGCTCTTTTCTGGAGGTTACATTATCTAAACAACTTCCTTTGCATTGTAGCTGATAGAGACCTAAAAGGGCGTCGCTCAACAACTACTACTGTTTCTTTTCAAGATCAAGTCTCAGGTAGCCCAGACCTGGAACTGCTGGTCCTGCCTCCATCTCCCCCACCCCTTCCCCCCATGGTGGGACCACAGAGGCATGTCACCTACCCCGAGCTTCTGTTATAACCACTGCCTGTCCAGGAATCATGACTGGCAGCAATCACTGGGAGCCTGCACACTGTTGTAAGCTCACAGAGTGGCAACAGAGGCTTTCAGGACAGTTCACCCATAATAGCTTAGCGCCAAGGCAGCCAGCATGTCCATTAGTCCTAGTGACTGAGGAGACTAAGGTGCGTGTGCGGGGGACCAAACATTCAAGGTCTGCTCCAACTACAGTGAGTTCAAAGCCAGCCTGGGTAACTTTGTGAGACTCTGTCTCAGATTTTAACACTGGAGTGGGGTAGTGGCCGACTCAGTGGTGCAGTGCTGGTCTCATATGTACAAGGCTCCAGGTTTAAGTCTGACCGTATTAAAAAAGTTAACAGTTAAAAACCTTCTAATGTGAGCTGGGCAGTGGTGGTGTACTCTAATCCCAGCACTCGGGAGACAGAGGCAGGTGGGATCTCTATGAATTAGAGGCCAGTCTGGTCAACAGAGTGAGTTCCAGGACAACCAGAGCTATACAGAGAAATACCATCTCAAAAAACAAAAACAAAAGCCTTCTAATGTTGGGCTGGGGAGATGGCTCAGTGTTTGGTTAAGAGCTTATGCTGCTAGCCGGGCGTTGGTGGCGCACGCCTTTAATCCCAGCACTTGGGAGGCAGAGACAGGCGGATCTTTGTGAGTTCGAGACCAGCCTGGTCTACAAGAGCTAGTTCCAGGAGAGCCTCCAAAAAGCCACAGAGAAACCCTGTCTCGAAAAACCAAAAAAAAAAAAAAAAAAAAAAAAAAAAAAGAGCTTATGCTGCTCTTCCTGAGGACCTGAGTTCAATTCCCAGCACCCACATCAGACGGCTCACAATCGCCTACAACCCCAGCCCCAGGGGAACCTAACACTTCTGACCTTTGTAGACACACCAATTCATGTGCATGTATCTCCCACACACATAACTAAAGCAGTAAAAATACATTTAAAAAACAAAACAAAAAAACTTCTAATGTAAACAGGGCTTGGTGGTACATACCTATAACGAAGTTTGAGGCTAGCTTATTCTATATGGTGAGTTCCAGGCCAGCCAAGAGCTACATAGCAAGACCATCTCAAAAAACAACAACAACCAACAAACAAAAAAACAACACTCTATAGCACAGTGGAGTAACTATGGTCAGTGACAATTATCTGCAGGTTGCAGAATAGCTAGCAGGAAGAATCTGGAAGGTTCCATACGCAATGAAATGATAACTACTTGAGGTGCTGATGTGGGATCTGGTTCTCACACTGCACCCAACCTCTTGTGCTTGTAGTACAGCCCTCTGGAAAACAGGGTGGGGTCCCTTCTGCTAGCCTGCATTCTTCTTCACGAACAGAGTGCACACCACTCTCCTGAACTCCCTGAGATATTTCTAATTTTATTTTTTACTTATTACATATACATGCCAGCAGAGGGCACCAGATTGAATTATAGATGGTTGGGAGCCACCATATGATTGCTGGGAATTGAACTCAGGACCTCTGGAAGAACAGTCAGTGCTCTTAACCTCTGAGCCATCTCTCCAGCCCCCATATTTCTAATCTTAATCTGAAGCCAAGTGAGATAGGGTAGCTTGGGGACGCCAGGCTTGGGGTTAGTCTGAAGTGGGGGTGAGCTGCGGGACTGCCACAGGCACCCAGGCCCTGCTTTTCCTATAGCACTGACTCACCTGTGCCCACAGGAGCTGAAGGCCTCTACTGTCTGGAGTCTCTGCCCTGCACTCTGCGTGCATTTGATTTAGCCCTGCACACACACATTAGTCGCTATGAGAGCCTGCGAAAACTGACGGTATCCAGCCTGCCTCGTCCCACTCCGAGGCCGGCAGCACAAAGCTACAAGTCCTGAGGGACCTTACTGTCAGTGTCCTATTCCAGTCCCCCACAAGGATGCCAGCCGGTCCCTAGTCACCCAACTGAACTGTAGAAACAGCAGAGCCCTACAGATAGTTCACCTGTGATGATATCACCCCAAGCAGGAGCACTCACTCCATGAGCACCAGACGGTCCCCTCAAGCAATAAGGAACTCTCTGAACCGTCTTGCAAAGCCAGAACTGCAAGTCTGACCTTGGAACAACAAGGCTGCCTAACCATACGCCTCCTGCCCGGGCCCCATCACCGTGACAAGCCACAAGGAGGGCAGGGAAGACTGTGGGGTAGGGGTTTGGTTGGTGCAACAGCTTCCAGCCTACCCAAGAAACCGTGAACTCCGAGGTTGGGGAGAGACCCTGTCTCAAAGAAATAGATGGAGATTGATAGACATACCCTCTACTGGCCTGGGTTCGTAAAAACACGAGTAAGTTAGAAAACAGTGACGACAGAAAAATAAAATGTACCGTTTGTATTGAAAATAAGTAGGAAAACACAAACACAAGGACAGAGACTTAGGATTTCTGTCTTTATTGTAACAAAATGCTTTTGTTTTCCTTTCTTTTGAGACAAGGTCTTAAGTAGCCCAGCTGACCTCAGACTCACTAGACAGCCAAGGGTGACCTTGAGTTCCACTATCATGCTGCTTTCATTGCTCAAGACTCAAGAATGCAGTCCTGAGTCATCATATCTGGCCCTTCCTCCTTTTTAAAATTGAAATATGTCTCTTTTTATTGCCCAGGATAAGACTAACCTTGAACTCTTATAGAACCAGCTATCTAGTCTGACTTTGAATAAAAGAGTTTGTTTTTTTTCCCCCTTGATTTTTTTTGAGACAGGGTTTTACTTTGTAACAGCTAGTTTTGTAGACCAGGTTGACCTCAAACTCAGAGACCCTCCTGCCTCTGCCTCTCAAATGCTGGGATTAAAGATGTGCACCACCGCCACCCAGTGAATGTTTTTAAACTAAAAAACAAAATGTAAACCAACCTACCTAAAATTTCTCCAATGCCGATGAAAATTCCAGAGAGTCCGATGAGGCTTTTCTCTTCTGTCCCAAATTTGTTTATGGCCCCAATACAGGTCCCGTATACCCCAGAGAAGAATGTGAGCTCCAGACCTCGGGGAGAGAAACCAGCTTTAACCATTACATTGCCATTGTCTCCTTTTCCGACTTCTGCTTGTGTCCAGTAGCAGCTGAGCTCGACATACAACATGAGCCCATAAACACACTCAGAGACTGAAGCGCTTCCCAGGTGGACAGCTTTACGCTGTGTAAATGACCTGATGGTACTCCCCGAAAGCCTACACGAAACTTAACTCCCCAGAGTGGCTTTGCAGGCACAGCCTTCAGGTGATGGCCCACAGGTGGGGTCCCTCGTGACTACAGGACACACCAGGTTGGTTTGCCTCCTGCTCTCTGCCTGCCCTGTGACCACACAGAATGACAGCTACAAGAACCCTCCCCAGAACCTGACCGCGCTGACACCTGCTGATTTCCTAGGCTCAGATGCCAAGCCACTGTTTTAATTTCACTGTCTTCACACAGCCCATACCTGTGTAGGCAGTCGTAACGCTCAGAAGGAGCATCTCCTTGGTGACACATAACTTCAGAGACTTTTCTGGAAGGAGAAAAATTGGACAGCCTTAGCTAGATTTTAATTAGCAACCAAAAGTTCTAAAAACCATTTCCTTCAGCCAGAGCATTCCTTTCATCACGGAAGCCGGTAAACAAAGAACCTGACTTTTCAGATTAAAATGCAGGGGGCATGAACTAAGTCTGTCGTGTAAATAGAGTGTTTATTGCAAGTGCTTAAATAGGTTCTGGAGACATACTGTCCTCATGCGTTTTTAGCTCTTAATAACCAGAAGGGAGGGGAAAGAAGCCAGAATAACACAAGACAATAAAACACTTGAGCAGACACAACGGACCGGCTACCCAGGGAGTCAGTCGGGTCGGGACCACCAGAGTGTGACTGCAGACCCGGGTTTTCAGTCAGCTTGCCATCTGCCTCGGCACTGAGCAGTGTGGGTGAGGTCTGCAGGGGAGAATGCTTTACTGAAAACGCCCCCGCCCAGAAGACAGGGGCTCACGCTGGCTCAGAATGTACTGGAACTGCCGGGCGTTGGTGGCACACGCCTTTAATCCCAGCACTCGGGAGGCAGAGGCAGGCGGATCTTTGTGAGTTCGAGGCCAGACTGGACCGACAGCCTCCAAAACAGAGAAACCCTGTCTCGTAAAACCAAAAAAAAAAAAAAAAAAAAAAAAACAACAGCACTCGGGAGGCAGAGGCAGGCGGATCTTTGTGAGTTCGAGACCAGCCTGGACTACCAAGCGAGTTCCAGGACAGCCTCCAAAGCCACAGAGAAACCCTGTCTCGAAAAACCAAAAAAAAAAAAAAAGAATGTACTGGAACTTACTATGTAGTCCAACATGGTCTGGAACAAGTCCGTCTTCTGTCACTGTCTAGAGTGTTAGGATTACAGACCTAGATTACCAGGGCTAGCCGGAACTCCTCAGTAGTTGAGGTTCCTGACCCTCTTGTGCTCCAAGTATTGGAATTACAAGGTTGAAATGGAAGGATATATAGGTTTCAGGCAAGCCTGGGCTACACAGTGAAAGTCAGTCTAAAGAAAGTTGCTAAATTGCTGTTTCTGTGAGTTTCTCTTCAATCCTCTGACCTCCTGACCACAAGTGGATCTTCAGGCTGACAAGTTCCTAGACTACACGCTGGGAAGCCAGAGCTCCACTGGTGGTGACCTCCCATTTTAGTTGGGGAACTTGGCTATAACCTGTTTACTTATAACCAAACCCCAATTTGTAATTATGAATGCATCCCTGCAACACAGGAAGTATATAAAAGCCAGATTAAACAGCTCTAATGACAGGGCATCCACGTCCTAGGTCCTTTCTAAAAACAGGCCTTGTACCATTTGAGCGAGGCCACAGCTGATGAGATCAAGAATTGCCACTCTGGCAAAAGGGACCTAACAACTCATAAATCTTCAAGGGCCACAGGCTCTGGGAAGTCCTGAGAACTGATGGCCTACAGCAGGCTACTCCAATGGAGAGTGACTGCCTCAGCAAGGGATTCTCCTGGGCGGCAAAGAAGCAGGGAGGCTGTGGGTAGACACAGTCAGAAGACCGCCTGTGTCCAGGGGAACAGTCAGACACAGTCAGAAGACCGCCTGTGTCCAGGGGAACAGTCAGACACAGTCAGAAGACCACCTGTGTCCAGGGGAACAGTCAGACACAGTCAGAAGACCGCCTGTGTCCAGGGGAACAGTCAGACACAGTCAGAAGACCACCTGTGTCCAGGGGAACAGTCAGACACAGTCAGAAGACCGCCTGTGTCCAGGGGAACAGTCAGACACAGTCAGAAGACCGCCTGTGTCCAGGGGAACAGTCAGACACAGTCAGAAGACCGCCTGTGTCCAGGGGAACGCTTGACTCCTGCGTGAATCACTGACTTTGGCTGCCAAGTCAGCCCAGGCTCAAATCCACCCCAGCACCTCCCAATCATCTTCCGGTTGCCCTCCGGTGGACCTTCCTGACAGTCAGTAGTAAGACAGCGCTCGCTTGTTTGTGAAAGTCCCAGCTTGGACACAGATAATTGCATATTCCCAGCTGCTAACCACTAAGCTGCTCACTCCCAACCTCAGGAGCAAGGAGTGCTCTCCATCTCCATCTTATGGCCATTGGATAAATTCTCCCCCATGCTCCAGAACTCTTTGGTTAGCTGTGAACAGCTCTAGTGGACTCGTACAGGTCCCGGAAAGCTCAGCTTTCTTCTCTGGAACGGAAGTGTCAATCACTGCCTACTACAGAACCCTCAGAACCACCCATGAGCATGGCAGCAAGAAACCGTACAGAAAGTTCCCTGGAGTCTGTGGCCAGAAAAAGAGCGCTCAGTGAGCAGGTGTGGCTGCTCTTGCTCCCGGCTCACTGGAGTTACTGCTGCAAGGAGCAGCCTGCGGCTGGCTCTCAAATCCCAGTGCCAGCACACGGAGCCCCCACGCCTGAGGCCTCTTCCCACCCCACCCCCGCACCTCCTTAGGTGGACAGCATGATCATCCGTCCCTCACATCCCCGTGTTGGAGAGACACTGGGGCAAAGACCGATACATTTTATAAGCGCATACCTGCAAGACTGAAAACACTGGGGACCATCAATCCAAAGTTACCAGGGAAGGGGGCGACTTCCCACATAGCTCTTGCATTTCAGACAGAGAATACTCACTGAATGCGTCTACTGCCTTTGTCACGTTGTTCTGGGCAGACCTGGGAAAGTAAAGAAGACTGTTTGCCCCCTTTGGAAACTACAAAGGAAACAAAAGCAGCACGTGACTAATGGCCACCCACTTCTGTCTAGATTTGTAAAATCCATGGCCTCAGCTGGGCTTGACGGCACACCCCCATAATCTCACCACTTCAGAGTCACAGGCTGGTGGATCTTGGGGAGTTCAAGGCCAGCCTGGTCTACACAGTGAGTCCAGGCCATCCAGAGTTACTTGGTGAGACCCTGTCTCAAACCAAGTCATACCTCTGGCTCTATGTGGTCTGCCAAGTAATCCCAATGATTCTAGTGTTCTTTGCTATAAGAGACAGACTTGGCCCTGGCCTTCAGGGTGTTAACATGCTTCCCGAGCCTCCAGATTCTGAACAATGGGACAGAACTCTCTCCTAAGGCGCTCACTACACAAACTCACTCATCTGCCTCCTTTTTGAAATTGACACAAGTAAAACAAAACCTTTGTTGTTTTGTACACACAAAACTCACACCTAGGATCAAATCCAGGCTTTGCACATACACTCCAACCTCTAGCCCAGCCCAGGTGCATATTCTTAATCTTGCTGTTCTCAAACTGTCAGAGAGGGTCTGGGCGCTTTCCACTGCTCTTCTCGTGTGGACAGGAAACCTTTCAGCATTCAAATTCTTTAAAAACTGTGACTATCTGGGGCTGGCAAGATGGGTCAGTGGTTAACGGCACTTGATACCAAATCTGATGACCTGAATCTGTGGGACCCACAATAGCAGAAAGAACTGACTCTTAAAAGTGTCCTCTGACACTTGTGTCCTATGCCACAACACACAAATGCCTACACAAATACACATACAAATAAATGTCTTAAAAATTAAAAGGGGCGGGGCTGGAGAGACGACTTCCAGAGGACCCAGGTTCTATTCCCTATACCCACATTGTGACTCACAACCATCCGTAACTCTGATTCCAGGAGAACCAATGCCCTGTCTGGCCTCTAAGGGCACCAGGCACACACGTAGTGCAGATACACATGTAGGCAAAACATCTGTACACATGAAATACAAGGGTTTTTTTTTCCATTTAAAAATAAAATCAGTGGAGCTTTCCTGACATAAAGACAAAGACATGACTACTCCGAGTCCCACGGTTAGGACACTCTGGTGTCCCTGGCAGAATGAACACACTCTTACAGGTATGCTACTTCTACCTCCTCTAAAACTGCGTCCAGTAAGAGCTGAGGCATGCCCACTGCTACTGCTGGTGCATGCTCAGCATTATTTGCAAAACAAAGGTCTAGAAGTTCCTGCTTAGGGGACAGTTCAAGATGAGAGCAGGCTGAGAGGCGTTCCTAAGAACTACACTTTGCCATGGTACACCACGCCCATCTCTAATTTCTGCTGACTAATGCTATAACACAGTGCTGAGAATCCAGTCCCAGAGTACACTCACACAGTATGTCAGCAGTGTTAGGTGACATCATATTATGGCTCGACTGTCCTATAGCTGTCTGTCACTAACAGAAACTCTACATGTGATGCATGGCAGTATGTATGTAACATACACTCAACCCAAAGACGACCTCTCCTTCACTTTAAATATGCTCAGTGGACATTTTCAAATGGAAAGCTTTCTGCGTTGTTTGTTTGCTTATTAAAAAGGCAATACAGTAGCAGGGAGTAATGGCACACACCCTTAATCCTAACACTTGGGAGGCAGAGGCAAGTCAATCTCTGTGAGACCAGCCTGATCTACACAGTGAGTTCCAGGACAGTCAGGACTACATGGTAAGCCCCTGTCTCACAAAGCAAAAACAAAACAAACAAACAAAAACCCAAATAAATAAATGACAACACAGAATGCTCAATGTAAAATTTTAACAATGGATGAAAAGCTTTAAGAAAAATCTTCATAATTTGTCAACTCAAAAACAAAATTAAGTCTTTTTCTCCACCCCTGCCAACAATCTAAATGATACTGCAGACAAATCACCTATGACTTCTGGTTGGTATGGCTTTTGAAACAAGTGTTATATAGCCCAGGCTGGCCTTGAACTTGCAGTGCAGTAGAAGGTGACCTAATCCTTCAGCCTCTGTCCCCTCCTCCCCAGGAACTGGGATTACAGGCTTGTGCTACTATGCTCGGTGACCTTCCCTACCTGAAATAATGTCACTGCTGAAACATGCTGAGGTAACTGGTGTGCTGGCACTTACTTGTGACCCCAGCAGCAGAAGGCTGATGCAGGAGGATCAGCTAACCTAAGCTATGTAGTGAGATCCTGTCTCAAAATCAGAAACTGTGCTCAAGGAATCACCGTATTGGGAACCTCCTGAACAGATCCCCACAGGACACCCTTGGTCACTCGCCCCCATTACAGCCCCCTGGAGCTCAGCTGGACCACAAGCACAGGAATGAAGGCGTCTGCCTCCCTCCTCTCCAGTCTCACCCAGCCTCGCATGGGAAACTGTGACCTAGAGACAGGACAGGACTTTTGCTACTCTATGGGGAGGGAGTTAAGTCCTTGGGGAACCTGTCACGGCCTCACTTCCACAGTCTCCCTTTCTGTCCTCCATGGCTCTCCTTCATCTTTGCTTGAACGTTCCCCTATGTCTGTCTGACATGTCACTTATCCCTAGACCACGACTGCTCAAAATCTACTCAAACACAAAGAAGAATGTTCCAGGCATCTTACTCAGGGGCTTCCATGTCCTGGTCATCGCAAGACTCTTCTTCTCCAAGGACATTCTCAGGGTCCGGTTTCCGAATGAGAAAGAACAGAACTGTCCCCACGAGGCTTATCACCGTCAGGGCAATGAACACTGTCCTTCGGTCATTCTCTAGGGACAAAAGGAGAGAGTAGACGGCGCTGGTGAAACAATGCCAGTCAGTGCTATGCCCGCTGGTTAGCGCTAGGCACAAAACACTTCCTCCTTACATTTCTATTTCAAGGCACAGTAAGAAGTTAGGAAGAAACAGCTACTTCTATGCTCGTCTTTCAGCTAGAGGAAAGCTAACAAGCCAAAGAAGCAACAGTACCAGAACAGAACTGTCTCTTCTAACTGCAGGAGGCCCGGTCCAACAACTGAACACTCAAACCCTCGGGAGCCTGTCTAGCGTGTACACTCAGCACAACCTTCTGACTTACGTGGAGGTGCCCTGCAAAGCACAACCATGAACTCTGACCTTCACCTAATAAATCTGAGGCACAAGTTTATGAAGAAGCAAGTATCTGAAGGAACTTCAGGGTGCTGAATGGCAGAGCAGTGACCAGCGCGTCTGTAGAACTGCTGCTCCGCTTTCAAAACCATCTCAATAAAGCAACGTGAGTAAGACCAACCTGAAATTTGAGTTTTCCCTTGCCAGGCAAAATATATGTAGAGATTTCCAAAGAACAAGCTGTGGGGAGAAAGGGAGAAGATGCTGGGGAATCACTGGAATCCTGGGGGGGGTGGGGTTATGTTTGCTTATTTATTTACTTAAAAACAGGGTCTCTGGCTGGCCTGGAACTCAGAGATCTACCTGCCTCTGCCTCCGAGTGCTGGCATTAAGATGTGGGCCACTGTGCCCAGTTCATACTTAAAGCTTTTAAAACATCACTGCCATTATTTGAAGAGGGGGACACGGTCATTTTAAAGAACCTGCCTGTCCTAGGTTACTTTACATTATCAACTCCACCTGACTTTTCTGACACATTGACCAACAGACGCATGTGACAGCAAGCTGACTCAGCACCACCCTAGAGGACACGACTCACGGACACAAGTGACTTACTGGGACTCTCCAAAGAAACAGGAAACAAACTTATGCCACTTGTAAAACCCTAAAATGTAAGTGAACAGGCTTAGGATTTAAATATCCATATCCAACTGTTTGGGCAGACTTTCCTGAGGAATGGCACTCACTGACTGTCCTGTTTTCTAATCTCTTAAGACTAAACCACCCATGGTGAGGTGCACCTATAGTCTCAGCTACTTGGGAGGCTTGAAGCAAAATGATTACACTGAGTGGAGGAGTTCAAGGCCAGCCTAGTGAGACTCCCAATCAGCTTCAACCAAACAAAAAAACCACACACACACACACACACACACATCAACTAAACATTCACACTTAAGTCTTGAGAAAAATGAAAATTCTTTTAAAAAATGCATCACATTTAGTTGTTTGCATATGGGGAGGGGTGCCAGAGGTACAATATACAAGCGGAGAGGAGCTGTTCTCTCCTGCTAAAAACGCGGGGCTACGAATGGAACCCAAGTCCTCAGGTCTGGTGGTAAGTGCTTTTATCCACGGAGCCATCCGCTTGCTCCAGGCTGGCCTTGAACTCACTGCAGTCTCCCTGCCTCTGCCTCCTGAGTGCTGGAATTACAGGTCCATGCCACTACTCCAAGCTCAGGACATACTAGTGGAACCCAACAGTCCTAAGTAGAGTGACCACTGCTGCTGCTCCTTTCTTAGAAACACCTACTATGCTGTGCTATTGTCCTTTCTGAATTTGGTGTATTTATTAATAGCAATCAGACAGCCCAGCTTGGCAGGAAGGATATGGCTAGCAGACTCCAGATAACCGTATTTACATGGGTTAACATTCATTTTCTCATCTGCAGAATACAGATAATGCCTTCTACCTCCTAAGTTTTGGTAAAGAAAATATGAATTTAAGCAAATAATCCAAAAGGTCTAAGATGCAGAGGATGCTAAATGCATGAAGGTTAATATTTTGTTCCCTAACTTTAAATTTTAGTAAAGTAGTCACATCCATTCATAAAGTCTGGATCTGTACCCACACAATAAAGTGCTGGTAAATGATGACATAAAGAAACCCAAGCACAGACTGAGCTCCAAAGAGATTACCTAGACTGTAAGAGTGCCCAGAAAATCCCGCTGTTTCTCCCGATTGTGTGCTCATCGGAATTTATGGTCAGGCAGTTTCCTTGTGCTGTCCAAAGCACTAAAATTCAAACCAAAAGCTCGTCAAAGGGATGACATCAGGCAGCTTCCTGAGCATCATGTAAACAGCACCCGCACCCCAGGAAAGCAGGTAAAGATGGATGCTCACCAGCAGCTGCAATTCCAATGAACACAGATGCAGTGTAGAAGGACCATGGGAAAGGCTGGATAAAAACGGCAATGTACATGCTAAAATACAACAGGTCAGTGCATTACAGTCAAACAGTCCGTGACACAGAGCGCTGAGGTTCTCAGAGGCTCAGCCTCAACTTCCACCTGGGAAGCACTTTCTTGGTTTGGGCTTTCGGAAAGGGATAAATGTGAAATGATTTTGGAATTTTTTTTCTTCCCCCACCCAGAATAGAGACCAAGCTCAGACCTCTGTGTGTGACAGGCGAATGCTCTGCCACTGAGCCTGCTGCAGCCCCAGCCACATATTGCTGTTGGCCGTCTCAAGCCTGTAAATGCAGATTTCACAGGTTTGCAACAGCTTCTGCCATGAGCTCAACGCAGGATGAAGCTCAAGCCAGAAACATTTCTCCATTTCACATAAATCTGCTCACCAACTTAACAGGAAGCTTGTTTCATGGAAGGTTCTTTTCAACCCTAACAGAAAGAGAGTTTTGCACTTTACTATTAACAGTGAGACAAAAGCTGATATTCGCCAGACATGCAGGAGTCTGATGGTCAAGCCAGGAGGATCACCAGGTCAGGACCAGCCTGGGACTGGGCTACAGTGAGACCCTCCCTGTCTCAAACACAAATCCAACTTGACACACATTCATAGGTTAGAAGTACGGTGTTCCTGAGCAAAAAGCATAGCACCAAATCCCCAAAACAACTACTTTTCACTGTGCTTGAAAGATGGGCTAACGTGTTCTAAATTAAACACGGAAAGGGGAAAAAAAGAACTACTCACCTGTAAAACAAGCCACTAATGAACATAGAAATTTGAGGTCCTACGATGGCAACCACGGATGGAGTGATCAAATTTGAAGCAGAGAACACGCCGTAAATAATTGCCAAGCTGCTCCCACAATGTACAGAAGGGAAAAAGAACAAAATCCTTAAGTAACACCTCCAAAGTTCACTTTTAAAATTCTACTTAGGGCCAGCCAGACGGCTCATCGGGGAAAGGTACCTGGTGCCAAGCCTGGCAACCTGAGTTCAGTCCCCGGAACCTACACTGTGGAAGGGAAGAACAACTTCTGGAAGTTGATCTTTGGCCTCTACGCTCACACTGTGGGCACTCATATATACACGCACAAAATAAGATAATGTAAAACTCTATTCATAATATGTAATTTTGTAATTTTACAAAGAAGACTTTAGTCAGAATTTATATGTATATCCTTAAAGACCACATTGAAGTTTTCACTTGTGCAACATACAGAAATACATATTTACTTTGTAAATACATTAGTTATTGATAGATGGATAGAGGTTTTGTCGAGACAGGGTCCTATTATGTAGCCCTAGCTGGCTTGAAACTCACTGCATAGCCCAGACTGAGTTTGAACTCATGCAATCCCACCACAGTTTCCCAAGTGTTAGGATCACAGGCATACAACGTAACACTGGCTGGTTTTTGTTTGTTATGACAAGGTCTCTAAAGCTGGGCCTGTCTGGTCTCAAACCTGCAGCAGTACTCCAGGCTGGCTGTCCCGGATGCTTTCGGGATTACAGGCATGTGCCACCACCAACTGTCTTGTATTAAATATTTGCATTACGTTTCCTTCAGCAAGCTTGCCTATAACATGATTCCAGGTATTGGTTTTAACAACAGTGAATGTCAGCAAGCAGTGTGCCAAGGGCTTCACGGGTACTTCCTCTTTTAAATCCAGATGCTATAGAGAAAACATTACTACACACTTCTAGAAAACACAATTGCAGTGAATCTAAGTTGCCTCAGTGCAACCAGTCATGAGGTAGGTGAGTGTGGGCCCAGTCCTGGAGATCTGCTCCAGGGGCAGGGCAAGCAGTCTACACCACGACAACTACAGCATCTCTCTGCTCTAAATGATAAGCGGAGTTAGAATTTGCTTACACTAGAATTTATTTTATTCACCTAGACATTTTTCAGTTACTCCTCAGCCCTATTACATATACACAATTTGGTTATATGTATACATTATCTATGTAGATAATTTCTATGGACAGTTGTTACGGCACTATATAGCCAGGGCTGGCTTTAAATCCACGATTCTCCTGCTTGAGCCTCCCATGTAAACATACACAGCATACCTAAAAACCCTACTGCATACATCTACATACACAGCCTAAGAACCCTACTACATGTATCTTCTTCTTCTCCCCCTTACTACACAATCTTTTTTTTTTCTTTCCTTTTGGAGATGGTGTCTCTCAATATAGCTCTGGCTGTACTGGAACTTACTCTCTGGTAGAGGATGACCTTGAACTCATGGAGATCCCTCCACTTCTGCCTCCCAAATCCTGGGATTAAAGGCTATATCACCTTACCCTGTTTACTGTATATCTTGAACAGAGTGGCACTAAAGCCATCTTGAGGGTCCCAATTTCATTTATTAGGCAGTGCTTAAATCTGTAAATTCAAAGTAAATGTCTCCTTGGCTTCCATAAGCCGCTCAGATATTAAATGTATTCTCTTATTTGTTCTTTAAAATACAGAAGACACAGTACTACAAAGTTCCGACATTACTAATCACCTAAAAGAAGGACACTAACTTCTACTCATCCTCATATCCCATATACTAGATTTAGGTAATAACCAAAATAAGAAGAGTGTTGGGCTGGGTGGTGGTAGCACACTCCTTTAATCACAATATCAGAAGACAGAGGCAAGCACATTTCTGAATTCAAGACCAGCCTGGTCAACAGAGAGACAGTTCCCAGGCATCCAGGGCTACACAGAGAAACCCTATCTCAAAAACAACAACAACAACAATAAAACTTTTTAAAAAGTTTTGAAATTAGGGGACAGGGTAACAGGAAATCTATAAGCACAGAGAAATTAAGAAAGGTAGCCAGGCATGGTAATGCACGCTGTGATCTCAGTGCGGGTTCCAGGCAAGCCTGGGCTATAGGATGAGATCTTATTTCTCTTTTTTGGGGGGGGTGTTTCGAGACAGGGTTTCTCTGCATTGTTTTAGAGGCTGCCCTGGAACTTGCTGGGTAGACTAGGCTGGCCTGGAACTCACAGAGATCCGATCCGCCTGCCTCTGCCTCCCCAGTGCTGGGATTAAAGGTGTGAGCCACCAACACCCAGCTGAGATCTTATTTCTCTTTCTAAAGTTTTAAAATCAATCACGTTTAAAGAGTGTGTGTATAATTCAGTTTCACATCTCCTCTTGCCGGGAGATGGTGGCACACGCCTTTGATCCCAGCACTTAGGAAGCAGAGGCATACAGTATGAATTCAAGGCCAAAAAAGAAGAAAGAGAAAAGAGAAAAAGAACAAGGAGGAGGAGGTCCTACTTACACACAGACTAAAAGAACCAACAGGACAAACTTGGAACATTCTTAGAGGACAGACAGACAGAGCTGAGGCTGCTAGCCTCGCTAACCACATAGCAACTGCCTGTGTCCAACTTGTCCAGAGTCTCAGCAGTGGGTAAAGCCAGGTAGACGAAGGCCCCACTGTCACCTTCCTGACAAACATGGGGTGAGGGCCCGAGGGGCTGAAACTCTGAAGCCAGGCCTAGTTACAGGTTTTTAATCTCATCATTAGGGAGTCAGAGGCAGTCAGATCTCTGAGTTTGAGGCCAGGCTGGGCCACAGGGTGAGTTCCAGGATAACCAGGGCTACACAGAGAGACCCTGTCTTGAAAAAAAGAAAAAAACAATTACAATTTGAGAATGAAATTACAATGATTATAAAATTACAAAGCCATGAAGATCCAATGTTTCAACAATTATAGCACTGATTAGGATTAGAATGTGATAGGCAGCCGGGCATTGGTGGCTCACACCTTTAATCCCAGCACTCGGGAGGCAGAGACAGAAGGATCTCAGTGAGTTTGAGGCCAGCCTGGTCTACAGAGCAAGTTCCAGGACAGGCTCCAAAGCTACAGAGAAACCCTGTCTGGAAAAACCGGGGGGAAAAAAAAGAAAGAAAAGAAAAGAATGTGATGGACAAGACTTGTATACACACTGAACAGGGAACAAACACTGTCTTTAGTGCCATGATCTCAGAAAGAAACAGGGCTGGTTGAACCCAAATTCTGAAGCCAGGCTTCAATTCCAAAATCTAATTCTACAGAAAACCTGCCGTCATCGCCTCAAAAACAAAAAGTTCTACCATCAGTTACTTATTTTGGGGTATGGAGGCATTCCCGGCCTATTTTTTTATTGTCACATTTAAAATTTATGTGTAAGAAAGGGTGCGTTCCTGTGTGGAGGTCACATGACAATCTGGAGTTGGTTCTCTCTTTCCACCATGTAGGTTCTGGGGGTTAAAATTCAAAACAGCCTTGGAGGCAAGGGTGGCTCTATCTGGCTGGCCCTAAAGTTAGAAAAAGAGACAGATTTGACACAGTCGCTGCTTCCCAGAGTTTTGAATAAAATCAAGCGAAAGTACTTTATTGCTGACTTTCCTGAAGAGATGTAAGGGACTACGACATGCAAAATGAAACCATGCACAGTACAATACCTGGTGTATCCACTGCCATGGAAATCTGTGCTATTTAAGCTCCTGATGACAGTTTGCTGTGTGGAAGACAAAACTAATCAACGAAAAAACGCCTTGCCATCTCCCTCCCCCTTGGGAAGCCTAAGTACTTGGAAATTCTTACGATTCACAGGGCTCACTATTGTACCACCCAAGCCCATCAGGAGAGGAGAAAAAGAACTCAGCTGCGGAACAAAAGCCTGAGCTTTCGTGCCTCGACCACTCAAGCACTAAAACGCAGAGTTTAATGCGGACAAGAATGAAAGTTAACTATGGACAATAATCAAACTGCAAGCCGCATCTGGGCAATAAACGGCAGTGTCTAACGCCCCGTGAAGCAATGTCTGACGCATGAAATCAGACTAGATCCCAGAAAACAAGGTTGGAAACACAGGAGGTGCAGTCTCGGCGTGGTGGCGGGCATCAACGTTTATTGTCACATCTGGAGTGCATTCTGAGAGGTATTGTCAAAGGAGGGAGGGCAAATTCCCAACTCACCGCCACATTTCCACAAGTTTGAAAGGCGGTGAACATAAACATAAAGGCAACTCCTAAGATAACGATGTTGAAAAGCTTTTTAGATTCCGGGGACATTTTGGCTCCGCTTGGTTGGAGATCGGCAGCGGCCCGGGGGGCAGTCACCTCTCCTCCTCCAGCCGAACCCCCTTGACGATCCTGAGGGAAGAAACGAGATGAGAGAGCCGCCAGGCAGCCAGAGTGCCGGCTTCCAGTCGTCCGACGGGAAACGCGGGCTTAGGAGAAAAGTTCTCCCCTGCCCGCGCAGTTCGGACACTCCAGGGACGTGGCGCGGTGGGCAGGAGACCCGGGGCCCGCGCGCAGCACAGCTACTCCCAAGTTGCCAGGAGGTGGAATCAGGGGCAAGGACGATTAGCAGCCGCCGCTGGGGGCCCGCCCTCCCGGCCTGACTCACCGGGGATCACGAGACCGGTCAGCTGACCGCGGGGAGGGCGCGGGGCCCGCCGGGAAATGTAGTCCCCGAGGGCTCGCGGACGGCTGCGTCTGCGCAAGGCAGGGAGTGCGTGCGGCACTCCTCGTCCCTTGGTGGTGGTGGGGGGGGTCGAGGGGCAGTGAACCCGAGTGCGGCGAGCTGAAGACGGGAACGGCGGGAAAGGGGTGGGGATGGGGACTCTGAGGTGGCCGGGGGACCCCAGAGAGGCAAATGGGACCCTGTGACAGAGGCAGGGCAGAGGGCTGGGTAGAGAGGTGCGTGGAGCTCGGGCATTGGCGTGGGGGAAGGGGGCGGGGTCCGCTTCCCTCTCCTCCCTCCGCAGCACTTAGCAGCTCCCCCTCCCCCCGCCTCCGCGGGCCCGGCCGGCGGAAAGAGCATTTGGCGGGCTTTCTTAACTGCCTTCCCGGGCCGCTCCCCCTCCCCGCCGCAGTGACTGCGCGCTTTCTGCCCGCCCGCCGCGCTCTGCGCAGGCGCGGGGGCGGGGCGGGGCGGGGCGCGCGGCGGCGACGTTACGGAGCCCGGCGGGATGAGCCAATCAGGAGATTCATTTCCGGGTGGCGCGGGCGCCATTTTGTGAGGCTGGCTATAAATGGGCCGCGGGGGGCCCGGCCCGTCCGCTCAGTCGCCTGCCAGGAGCGTGTGCGGCTGCATTCGCTCCGCTGCTGCCTAGCGCCTCCCGGCTCCTCCACGCGGACGGCAAGCGCCGAGAGACAGAGACAGACGGAGAGGGGGGAGAGAGGCGCGGCTCACGGCCGCCGCGGTCAGGGCAGAAGCCGCGGTTCCCGCTGAGAGCCGGGGCCGGCTCAGGGCGTTTTCAGGGTCTCGGCGCCACTCGTCTCGCCCGCGGGGCCCCCGGGCCGCTCCCCAGCCATGAGCTACGGCCGCCCGCCTCCCGATGTGGAGGGCATGACCTCCCTCAAGGTGGACAACCTGACCTACCGCACGTCGCCCGACACGCTCAGGCGCGTCTTCGAGAAGTACGGCCGCGTCGGCGACGTGTACATCCCGCGGGATCGCTACACCAAGGAGTCCCGCGGCTTCGCCTTCGTCCGCTTCCACGACAAGCGCGACGCCGAGGACGCCATGGACGCCATGGACGGGGCCGTGCTGGACGGCCGCGAGCTGCGGGTGCAGATGGCGCGCTACGGACGCCCGCCCGACTCGCACCACAGCCGCCGGGGCCCGCCACCCCGCCGGTACGGCGGCGGCGGCTACGGGCGGCGGAGCCGCAGGTGAGCGGGGCGGGGGCCCGGGGGGGAGGAGGGGGCGGCGCGGGAGGGAGGCCGGCGGGCTGGGGGACAAAGGTGCGCGGAGCACGTGGGGCGGCGGCGGCGGCGGAGGAGGAGAAAGAGGCGGCGGGGCCAGGGCCGCACCGTGCGAGACCCCGCCTCGCGCGCGGCCGGGGAAATGGCGCCCGGCAGCCAGATAATGGCGGCGGGAGGGGCGGGCGGGCGGGGCCGGGCCCGCGGCTCACCCCCATCCACCTCGCCCGCAGCCCTCGGCGCCGTCGCCGCAGCCGGTCCCGGAGCCGCAGCCGGTCCAGGTCCCGGAGCCGCTCTCGCTACAGCCGCTCCAAGTCTCGGTCCCGCACGCGGTCGCGCTCGCGCTCCACCTCCAAGTCCAGGTCTGCGCGGAGGTCCAAGTCCAAGTCGTCGTCGGTCTCCAGATCCCGCTCGCGGTCCAGGTCCCGGTCGAGATCCAGAAGCCCTCCCCCGGTGTCCAAGAGGGAGTCCAAGTCCAGGTCGCGCTCGAAGAGCCCCCCCCCAAGTCTCCAGAGGAAGAAGGCGCGGTGTCCTCTTAAGAGAATGGTAATGTCGGCAGGGATCCGAGACACACCCTGAGTCCCGTGGGGTTTGGAGTAGGATTTTTGAGCCATGCTAGCGTGAGTGACTCGTGTGAAGGGGCACTGCTCTGAAGTTACTCGGCTTTGGGAGTGATGCTGAAGAGGAGGGGTCTTCAGAGAGGATTGTGTAAAGAGAGCTTAAATGATAATGGCTGTTTCATACTGTTTGAGACCTATGAATGAAAATGACTATTTCTTGCTGTTTTTATCCAACGTCTGCATTTTCCCCCTTTAAAGCTGCGGTCTCCTGTTTGATAAAAGAATATTGGCCAGTATTGCAGATTTTAACTGATTTGGCTGATCCTCCAGGGACCAGTTTCTGTGGGCGTGTGTTGGAGCAGGTTTGTCTTTAAACGTTAAAGATGCACTATCCTCATAGAGAACAATCAGTTCAACTGTTGTTGTACTGACTGGGACTTCTTACTCTAATGGATGTGGCAAATGAGTTGCAATTAAGAAGCAATGAACTTTTGGAAAACCCCAAAAGAGCTACAGGTATCGCACTGGGTGGGAAAAGGATAGTGTGTCTTTAACTCTCAAATTGTTTGGTCCTATTTTTTTTAAAGGAAAGGGCCCTAAGTAGCTGATAAGAACATCCTCAACTGCCAAACGTTTCATTTTCAAACATCTTAAAGTGTAGACTAATTTCTGGTAGCGAGTTTTTTGTTTGGATACAGCCCCACCCTGCCCTCCCGCTTTTTCTTTTTCCCCCTTGCCATTTTTTGCCTTGGTTATTGACCAAGAATCACATTTGGAGCTTGTGCTGGTGGTAGCCATTAGGAGGATTCTCACTGGGGCCTTTAGAGAACTGAGTGGCCGGGTGGAACCTTCTGTAACCACTTGTTTCACCAGAGCCTTAGTAAGTACGGTCTGAACTGAAACCACATGCACTCCGGTGCCTTGTAGTAGAAGGTAAGCTGAACCTTTCTCTTTTCAAACCTAGATGGATCGGCAAGCAGCTTAACAGAGGACTTTGGGGGAAAAGGACCACAAACTCAGTCCATCGGTCCATGGAAGAGTCCTTGGAACAAGCAACTGGCTATTGAAAAGGTTATTTTGTAACATTTGTCTAACTTTTTACTTGTTTTAATCTGCCTCAGGTGGCAATCTTCATTTTATGTGCCATTTTGTTGCTGTTATTCAAATTTCTTGTAATTTAGTGAGGTGAGCGACTTCAGATTTCATTATTGGATTGGATATTTGAGGTAAAATTTCATTTTTGTTTATAGTGCTGACTTTTTTGTTTGAAATTAAACAGATTGGTTACCTAAATTGTGGCCTCCTGACTTAATAAGGAAACATTTGCAGCCATTACACACAGCCTAAAGCTGTCAGCAGATTGACTCAACATTGCCTTCACTCCTTAAATTAAAAACCCACAAAAGTTGGTGTAATTTGTTTATGTATGTTGTTTACCTTCAGGTCTAAATGATAATCTGAACCCAAATTTGTGTAAAGACTTTTCAGGTGAAAAGACTTATTTTTAAGGATTGTTGACCAAATCCAATTCTAATCTCTTCTCTTATGTATTTTTGTGCACTAGGCGCAGTTGTGTAGCAGTTGAGTAATGCTGGTTAGCTGTTAAGGTGGCGTGTTGCAGTGCAGAGTGCTTGGCTGTTTCCTGTTTTCTCCTGATTGCTCCTGTGTAAAGATGCCTTGTCGTGCAGAAACAAATGGCTGTCCAGTTTATTAAAATGCCTGACAACTGCACTTCCAGTCACCCGGGCCTTGCATATAGATAATGGAGCATACAGTGAGCACATCTAGCTGATGATAAATACACCCCCCCCCATTCCTCATGGTAAATCTGATCACCCTCATGTATGAACTTAATCAGAAAATGTTAAGGAAGCAAATGGTTTGTAACTTTGTAAGTACATGGTGTATCTTTTGCTTATGAATATTCTGTACCATAACCATTGTTTCTGTGGTTTGATTAAAGTGTTTTGGTGTTAGCTTTTTTGAGACTATGTCCTGGTCTTTTTTTTTCTCCTCGGTGTAATCTAAAGACATTATAAAATCCTGAGCACCTTCTCACTGGAAAAAATGCCAGTTGGAGCTTTTCAGTAGCATTTTCCTGGTCTTGAAAGAGTCTCACTTAACCTAGTGTGTCCTGGTTAATGACAGACAGCAGTCCAAATCCTTTCAAGTGTTTTAATCTTAAAAATTAACATTGCCCATGAGCATGATATCACAGTCTTGGCTTCAGGCCCCATTGCATACATCTGCTTATGATCTTAACCTCAGGATGGCTATTCAGTCTTGGCACAGTCCCCCAAAAGCTTGAGGTACAATTCAGAAACTGCTCTTTGCAAAGGAGACCACCAGCATTTCAACGGTATGTCTTCCTGGGAGGGTAGACTCTGCTATATGTTGCTTGTTTGCTTCAAAAGACCTCAGAGGAATATGGACACACTTCATATCCCACTTGTGGAGCAAGCCTTCAAGTGACCAGTCAGCGCTTAAAAATAATAATTTGTTTCATGACTCATGCTTTTTGTTTTCCTTAATACATTGATTATCATGTTGAAAGACTAGTAGACAAATTATCCATACTCACCTTCTGACCTGGTAGGTGGACCAGAATTGAACTTTGGGGTTCCTCTGCATCAGGAAGTACACTGTGGCTAAAATACTTTCAAAGTCTGGGGGGAGAAAAAACTTTTGAGTTTCATACAACACAATCTGCTAGTTTTTTGCAGATTAAGTTTACCTTCTGGTTCGAAGAACACATCAGATGCAAGAATGATGTCTTGTGGTGGCAAAGACAGTAGGTCCTTTGTTATGTGGCCCCACGTCAGCCCTACAACCTGTACCTGTGACAGGCCGTTCAGTCTGCAGCTTTGCCTGCAGACATCCAGACAGTGGGGCAGCTCTGAGCTGTCAGAAAGTATTACTTCAGCACCACATTTGGCAGCTAAGATCCCCGGAAGGCTCACTCCAGCTCCAATCTAAATGGAAATAGAATTTTAGAATTACTTAGTTTTTCTTCCCTAATTTGTTTGTGCTCCATGGCTGGCTTCGAACTTATCTGCCTGCTCCCCATTGGAGAACTACGAACAACTAAAGGTTGGTGCCACTGCCACAGATGACTAGTAGTCTGAATTTTGAACTTGGAAATTCAAGGGTAATTTGCTTGTGGTAGTACATGCCTGTTTCATTAAAGGATGTTGCTTCCAGTATCTCAAGATGAGTTTGAGATGCCACCTACCCTGTTTGCCAGTATTAGCAGGATCTGTAACAAGCGCCTGACTGCAGCAGAGCAGGTGGACTGCATAGCCAGCCAGTTGTGCCACACTGTTGTATTGCCTTTATTATGGCTAAGGGTTTCTTGTGTCCCTTAGGGGCTGTCTTAGGAATTTGCTATGTGCTGGGATTAAAGCTGTGTAAAAGCAAAAGTTCTTTCTTAGCCGAGCCTTGGTGGCCCACACCTTTAATCCCAGCACTCAGGAGGCAGAGGCAGGTGAATCTCTTGAGTTGGAGGCCAGCCTGGTCTACAGAGCAAGTTCCAGAATAGCCTCCAAAACAACACAGAGAAACCCTGTCTCGAGAGAAAAAAAAAAAAAAGTAAAAATATGAAGACTTTACTAACTTGGAATTTTATAGCCAGCCAAACTACCTGACTTAAAATAATAGTAAAGACTAATAGATCAACATCTGCAAATGGGCTCCTGTTACCTCTAAGACAGCTTTGCCTGGTAGAGATCTTCTGTGAAACCACAGGTATTGGGCCAGAACAACAGCACAGGGCCAAACATACATCCCATATTGGACATGCAGGACCTACAAAGAAAATATCGTGTGAATACCTACCTTTATGTTCTGTTGGTCACATCCATTATTAGATGGTTCTGTTCTCCAGTCCTTGACACCATAATGCTGTTATTTCTTCCTTTGTATGCCAGGCTGGCCTCAGCGAACAGAGAGGGCTATGTGGGTAACAGTGCTAGACTCTCAAGCATGTGTATGAGTGTTGTGTGCATGCCTGGTGCCTCTGAAACCAGAAGAGGGTGTTGGATCCCCTGGAACTGGAGTTAAACATGATTGAGCCGTGTAGGTACTAGAGAACCAAACCTGGGTCCTCGGGAAGAGCAGAGAGAGAGTGGTGCTCTTCACCGCTCAGCCATCTCAGCCTTGCCGCAAGCATTTAAATTGAGACTCAGGGATACTTCAGTGTACACTGTACATAGTACATCCTGGACAAGGTGGGCAGAGAACAAAGGTGATTTTGTTGGTAATGAATGCTACACAGTAAAGCAGGATGAAGAAGGTGTAACGCATGGAGACAGGTAGGGCTGCCCCAACAACTGCCCTGGTCTGGCCACAGGCCAGCTGTGAGTGTGAGAGTGGAGGGTATTGACCTGTGCATCCTACTGGCCACAGGAATTTGAACTATAACTACAAGAAGATGTTAGAAGGGTTCTTTAAAAAGATTTTTAATTTATTAGAGGATGGAGCACATGGAGGTCAGGGGACAACATAAGAATCAGTTGTCTCCTTCCATCCTGTGGGATCTAGGGACAGAATTCAGGTCAGGCTGTCCAGTTTGGAGGCAAGGGTTTTTTGTTTTTGTTTTTCGAGACAGGGTTTCTCTGTGGCTTTGGAGGCTGTCCTGGAACTCTCTCTGTAGACCAGGCTGGCCTGGAACTCACAGAGATCCACCTGCCTCTGTCTCCCGAGTGCTGGGATTAAAGGTGTGCTCCACCAACGCCCGGTGAGGCAAGTGGTTTTACCTAAGCCATCTCTTCAGTATTATTGTTTTTTTGAGGCAGTGTCTTGTGTAGTTAAGCTGGTCTCCAACTCACTATGGAGCCTAGGATGACTTCCTTTTCCAGACAGGGTTTCTGTGTGTAGCTTTTAGAGCCTGTCCTAGAACTTACTCTATAGACCTCGATCTGCCTGACTTTGCCGCCACCGCCTGGCCTGTGAGCGTCTGCCACTGCGGATGTGCGCCAGGACAGCCAGTTTCATTCGTGAGGTGCTGGGAATCAAACCCAGCCCATCATCCATGTTACACCAGCACTGTACCAACTATGTCCCTATCTATTTAGGGGAGATTTAAACTCAAGTATGACTTGGATGCTAATGACAAGCCCTGCAGTCCTAGGTAGATGTCCCACAAAAGGAGGCATATGTGGAGGTGAATCCCAAAAGACCAAAGAAAAACTTTGGAAAGAAGGAGTCATTCAGGATGTGGTTTTCAGTTGTAATCCTATCATACACTAGGAAGGAGGAACATTATTCTAAGTTCATGGCCAACCTGATCTACACAGCAAATCAAAACCCTGCCAGGGCTAGATTTCTGAGATGCTGTCTGAAAATAAAAATAAAACCCCAAAAGCAAAGTAGAATCTGGGGGACATTTATGGAAGAAGAAGGGTACATCTGCAGTGAGCCTCCTCATCTCCATCCCTCCCCCCAAACACCCCACCCCAGACTCAAACTCCAGGTCCAGCTGTAGCATTTTACACGACCTACTTGTCAAGGGTTTCAGTCTCAACGGCAGATCTCCATAGGGTAGTAATAGTCAATGCCAGGCACAAAGTGCTGCACATTAGCAACAGAAATCAACAAGGGTGCCCCCCACGGGGCGATGGGCTAGGGCAAAACTGTAAAGGAGTCAGAGGTCCAAACTTAACCAGTCCACTCAAGAACAGCGCATGGCAGATGGCTGTCGTTGGACACTGTTCATTCCAACGTGGGACAAGAGGCCCCAACAAAGCCTTACGTCAAAGTATAATAATGAATAGGGGTTAGAAAGATTGCTTTTCCAGAAACCCAGGGTTTAATTCCCAGCATCCACATGGCAGCTAACAACCGTAACTTCAAGATCTGACACTCACACAGATACACATGCAGTCAAAACATCAATGCACATAAAACAATACGTATGTACATGCACATACATAATTTAAATGGAGTTACAGGGGAGAAATAGGTGCTAGGGAGATGACTCAGCAGTTCTGAGTGCTTCCTGCTCTTCGTTTTCAAGACAAAATCAGTATGTAGCCCTGGATATCCTGGAAGTGGCTATGCAGATTATAAACTGGCCTCAAATTCCCAGTGATCCTCTTGCCTCTGCCTCTTGAATGCTGGGATTAAAGGGGGAGGATTAAGGGCATGGGCTACTATGCCCAGCAAAAGATAAATCCTCAAAAAATAAAAATGAAGCAGGGAATAGTGGCGCTTGGTTTTAATCCACTTGAAATGCAAAAGTGGGCAGATCTTGTAGTTCCAGGCCAGTCAAAGCTACATAGTGAAATCTAGTCTCAAAAAATAATTATCACTGCCTCAGCATAACCCCGATTTGGTTGCTACAGCAAACAAGTTCTGTTTTGGCTTGCCTCTTTCGCTGTGTCTTCCTTTTTAACACTGAACTACTGAGGCCCGACAGACAGGGTATGGACGGGACTTCACCAGGTAAGGGTCAAATTCCTGTACAACTAACAAAATTCACTGTGAAGTCTGTCTACAGAGGAACAATGATCTTTATAGAGGTATTTCAAACCCAAATGTTAAAATAACAAAGAATCAGCAGGGTGTGGTGACGCACACCTTTAATCCCAGCACTCAGGAAGCAAAGGCGGGTGGATCTCTGTGAGTTCAAGACCAGCCCAGTCAGTTCTGGGACAACCAAATTCAGAATGAGACTATTTTCTAAAAAGAATCAAAATGGGGGCTGGAGAGGTGGCTCGGAGGTTAAGAACACTGACTGCTCTTCCAGAGGTCCTGAGTTCAATTCCCAGCAACCACATGGTGGCTCACAACCATCCATAATGAGATCTGGTGCCCTCTGCTGGCCTGCAGACATACATAGAGGCAGGATGCTGTATTCATAATAAATAAATAAATCTTTAAAAAAATTTAAAATGATAAAATAGAGAGGAACTTCTTGTGGACAAAACACATCTGACCTTTGGATGAAACTTCACAGCTTCTCCAGCTGTAGTCTGCAACTTTCTGAGAACCTCAGAAACAAGATTTTAAGTATATCAACACCCGTGGGACCAAGTATAATCAAAGATTCTTTCGGCCCTTGTTGCATGACGTCACTGTAATCCTTCCGGTCCACCGCACCTCACTAATCTCATCCTGTGACCTTTTTTTTTTTTAAACAAAGATCTATGTACACCTTTATGCCAGAAGAGGGCATCAGATGCCACCACACATGGTTGTGAGAGCCCACGTAGTTGCTGTGAATTGAACTCAGAACCTCTGGGGGAGTTGCGGTGCTCTTAACCACTGAACCACCTCTCCAGTCCCCACTCTGTGATCTTATTTACAAAAAGAAAAGCTAAATGCAGTTCCCTGCGCTTGCAAAGCCTGTAGCCATACCTTCTGTGTCCTCTTCCTAAATGTCTATTAACCTCCAAACTTAAACCCAAGTTATATATGTTAATACCCTCCCGCTCTGCTTCATACTGATTTGCCCTCAAGTGTTTTTCTGTAGTATATAGTCAAGATACTCTGCTTCTTCGCTGGGTGGTGGAGGAGGAGGCAGCCGGCGGCAGCCTTTATCCCTCAGTCTTCCCAGCACTCAGGAGGCAGAGGCAGGCAGCCTGTTCTACAGAGGGAATTCCAGGACAGCCAGGGCTACACACCGACACCAACAAAAGAATCTTCACATCACTTGGGTAGAAGTCTCTGCAGAGATGCAGGCTGCTACAGGTGGCAGCGTAGGATTGCACATTCAGCTTCGGCTACTACTGTCAGGAACACCCACTGGGCCAGCTGCTAACACTACAACCTGAAAATCCTTCGTAAAACCCCAGTGTCGGGATAGTTATCCTCCAGTGTTACGGTAGCTGTAATCTCTGAGGAACAAGCCACGGCCGATGCAGGAAATTTTATTGGGATGTTGGAGACAGGAAGTCCCTGGTCCCAAACTTCCAAGTGAGAATTCTGGGGTTGAGGATAAGCTCAGTGGCATAACTTTTGCCTAGCATGTATGTATGAAGTCTTGGGTTTGATTCCCTAGAATTGCACAAAACAAGAGCATGGCGGCACACACCTGCAATCCTAGGTAGAGAGGCTGGGTTCAAAGCCTGCCTGAGCTCAAAAATAAGACGAGTATGTTAGGGATATCGCTCAGTGACGGAGCACTTGCCCAGCAGGTAGAGGCTAGGTTCTATTAACAATACTCAGAGGCGGGGGGCTAAGATACATTAGCCGGAAGCCCGGCGGTGCCTTAAATCCCAGCACTCGGGAGGAAGAGAGATCAGCCTGGTTTACAAAGTGAGTTCCAGGGCAGCCAGAGCTATACAGAGAAACCCTGTCTCGGGGGAGAAAAAAATATTAATAAACGCTCTTCAAAAATGTTCAGGGCTAGCAGCACAGGCCAAGAGAGCCGCTTTCCTGGAAGTATTCAGTATTTCATCCCGGCCCGGCCCCTCATTGTCTTAGTCACCGAGCTTCATAGCAAACCCGCCGCTGGTGAACGGAGCGGACACCCGAGGGATCCCCCACTGCCTACACTCCACCCGGGGAGCGCTCCCACGTGGGTGCCACTGCACGCACCTGCGGGACGCGGACCTCCAGCACCGCCCCGTCCGTTCCAGGGCCTGGCTTCTCCCGGAACCGAAAGCGTTGAGCCACGGCCATGAGGCCGCGCTCGGAGGGAAGACGGGGGGACCCCAGGTCTGGCGGCGACGGTGGGGGGGAAGGGGAGCGCTACACTGCAGGGGCGCCGAGCCGGCGGGGCCGTGCCACGTGGCCGCGAGCCGGGACGAGCCTGCGGGACGCTCTCCGAACGAAACACCCGGCGGCGGCGGTGGCGGCTGGCTCAGCCGGAAACGGACCGCTAGGACGCGACGCGCAGCCGGAAGTGGTGAGGCCGCAGCCGGGAGGGGCAGGACGTCAGCGAGGCGACCTTCCCAACATGGCGCCCGGCGGGCGCGCGTGAAGGGCGGGCCTCGCGCACGGCCGAGGCCAATGGCGGCGCGCAGGAGGCGGTGGGGCGGGGAGGACGGACGCCGCTCGCCCAACCCGGAGCCCCGGAGGTGGCAGGGGAGGGAATCTTCTGGAAGGCGGCTTTAAAGGCGCCTTGCCGGAGACGAAGGGCGTCTCGGTGCCGCGCCGGCCGGAGAGGGCGCGTTTGTTCCGGAGGGCGGGGGGTTGGGGGGAACGACGGCAGGAAGCGAGCTGCGTCGAGGTCGTGGCGGAGCCGGACGGCGACCTGCTCGGGATGAACCACAAGAGCAAGAAGCGCATCCGCGAGGCCAAGCGCAGTGCGCGGCCCGAGCTCAAGGACTCGCTCGACTGGACCCGGCACAACTACTACGAGAGCTTCCCGCTGAGCCCGGCGGCCGTGCCGGTGAGCGGGGCGCCCCCCACCCCATCCCCTGCCCCCTGGCGCCGCCCGCCTCCCGGAGGCCGCTTGTCCCCGGACCCTGTGGGGCGAGGGGGCCCCGCCGCCCGGCTGTCACAGCCCGCTCCTTCTGGCAGCTCCGACCCCTCCCTCCCTCGCTCGCTCGCTGGCTCGCAGGGGTGGCTCCGGGTGCGACGTGCTCACACTCACGCACGTGGGCCTCCCTCCCCCTGCAGGAGCCGGAGGCTCGGCCCCGGCTCGAGGGTGTCGTGGCTAACTGGCCCGGTGGGGGGATGACGACGACACGTTGGTCCGCCCGCGGGCTTCTCCCGGTGTGTTAACGGGACAGGTCTTTTTTTGTTGCCCCCCCCCCCCCAGGATAACGTGGAGAGGGCTGATGCCTTACAGCTGTCGGTGGAAGACTTCGTCGAGCGGTACGAGCGGCCTTACAAGCCCGTGGTTCTGCTCAATGCCCAGGAGGGCTGGTCCGCGCAGGAGAAATGGACTCTGGAGCGCCTCAAAAGGAAATACCGGAACCAGAAGTTCAAGTGCGGTGAGGACAATGACGGTTACTCGGTGAAGATGAAGATGAAGTACTACATCGAGTACATGGAGAGCACCCGTGATGACAGTCCCCTTTACATCTTTGACAGCAGCTACGGCGAACACCCCAAGAGAAGGAAACTTTTGGAAGACTACAAGGTGCCCAAGTTTTTCACGGACGATCTTTTCCAGTACGCAGGGGAGAAGCGCAGGCCCCCTTACAGGTAACGCATTCCGCATCAGGGTGTTCAGAAACCTCAGGGTGTGGTTAGCAGAGCTCGGTCTGACCTTGTGCAAGCGGTGAGTGGATCCTCCCTGCACAGTGACTCATTTATGGTCCTACTTGGGAAGACTGATTTTCCGATGGTCTGGGGTCCGCCCAGACATCTGGCTGGATTCCTCAAATTCTCCAGACATCTAGCCTTTTTTTCCCCGCCACCCCCATCCCTGGGTGCCTAGTGCCAGTGAATGCCTAGGAGGTCAGAGGCGTCAGCTCGTCTGCAGCTGGGTCCACGGATAGGTGTGAGCCATCCAACTCCAGGACATTTAAATATAGAATTAAAATGAGACCACTGCTTCATAAAGGAAGTTTTATTTGTATTTTTACAAGTGTGATTCACTGATTTATTAGGTTTTGCTTTGCTTTGGGGGTTGGTTGTTGTTTTGGTTTTTTTGGTTTGTTTTGTTTGAAACAGGGTCTTACCGTATTGTACTGGCTGTCCCGTAACTCACTATATAGACCGGGCCAGCCTGGTCTCAACACTCAAGAGATCCTGCCTCCAAGCCTCTGGCTCCTGAGTGTTGGCATTAAAGATGTTTGACACCACAGCCAGCTATGTTATTTATTTGAGGGGCACATGTGCCACAGTGCCCATGTAGGGTTCAGAGGACAACTCGTGGGAGTCACTTCTCTCCTTCCATAAACGTGGGTCCTGAAGATTTGTTTTCTTTGAGACAGGGTCTCACTCTGTAGACCAGGCTGGCCTCCAATTCATAGAGATCCTCCTGCCTCTGCCTCCTGAGTGCTGGGATTAAAGGCGTGTGCCTCCAATGCCCAGCTTATTTGTTTGTTTTTTATGTGGCCCAGCTAGGTTTTCGTTTGTTTTTGTTTTTGAGACAGGGTTTCTCTGTGGCTTTGGAGGTTGTCCTGGACTTAGCTCTTGTAGACCAGGCTGGCCTCGAACTCACAGAGATCCTCCTGCCTCTGCCTCCCGAGTGCTGGGATAAAAGGCTTGGGCCACCACAGCCAGCTGATAGGTACCATGTCTTTTTTTTTAAAGTTCAGCAATAATCTACATCAGTCCATATACAATTTATGTTGTGTAACAGAACCTGTACAGTCTCTGAAGTGGGTGCAGCACAATGTTGATGGTGTGTTAGAGAGCCTCTGCTGTCGTGTACATTTCAGGTTACCCTTCATGTCTTCATGTTTCCATCCTGTAGGTGGTTTGTGATGGGGCCACCACGTTCTGGAACTGGGATTCACATCGACCCTCTGGGAACCAGTGCCTGGAATGCCTTAGTTCAAGGTCACAAGCGTTGGTGTCTGTTCCCCACAAGCACTCCCCGAGAACTCATCAAGGTGACCCGAGAAGAAGGGGGGAACCAGCAAGATGAAGCCATTACCTGGTTTAATGTTATTTATCCACGGACACAGCTTCCAACCTGGCCGTCTGAGTTCAAGCCCCTGGAGATACTCCAGAAGCCAGGAGAGACTGTCTTTGTACCAGGTATAGATGAGCTAGAAGAAGCTCCTCTTCCCAGCCCTGACTACTTTGTAATTGCACTGGGTTGTTACTTTGGAGTAGAGTTACAGAACCAGACAAAAAGTCCTTCCTATCCGTTGAGCACATGTACTCCTCCCTGTGGTGACAGGGTTGGGGTTTTAAGTTCAAAGGGAGTGTATCTCCACATTCCACGTGTCTGGACCTGGTGTCTGTTAGGTGTCAGTCTGTATACAATTTACTTTGTTACCTGGCGTCTCTAGTGCTCTGGGTTCCGCCTGCGTTCTGGGGCCTTTGCTAGAGTGGCGGAACTGGCTGGGTCGAGTTGGAAAATGCCAGCCAGCCCGAGCTACATTTAGATGGATGAAGTTTCCGGAAGTGAGAGTACTTAAGTTTAAAACTTTTGCTTTTACAGTATTAGTCACGTTGGGTTACCAGGAGTCAGCACATTAGAGGCAGACAGTCTGTCACTCTGCCCGGTAGCAGGGAAGCCTCGGTAAACAGTAGAAACAGTAAGAGCCTGCCTGTGTGGAGTTAGACACCAGGTCACCTCAGACTCTTGACCGGGAGCAGCAGGGCTGATCCTTACTGCACTGTGTATCTGTTGGATTCCAGGGGGCTGGTGGCATGTTGTTCTTAATCTTGACACCACCATTGCCATCACCCAGAACTTTGCCAGCAGTACCAACTTCCCTGTGGTGTGGCACAAGACGGTAAGAGGGAGGCCAAAGTTGTCAAGGAAATGGTACAGGTGAGAGACGTTTCCTTTCTTCTGCTTTGTTCCAGCTCCTTCCCCAGAGGTGAAAAGGGAAGAGTTGTCTGCGCTTGGGGACAGCTGGGTCTCGGGAACCTGTGGGTAGAGAGGGCCCCAGGTCAGGATTAGTTGTCAGGTCGTCTGCTAGCCTCCAGGTGGCAGGGAGCGGCTCTGCATGATGAAAGTCACAGGCAGAATATGGTCACAGTTGGGTGTTTCTCGTTTGTTGTCACTCTGTTTCCTCCATTTTTCTTATGCTCTCTCTCTTTTTTTTTTTTTTTGTTATTTTTAAAAAATAAAAACTAGCACTAACAACAACAACAAAAAAAGAAACGCCTTTGTTGAGGTTTTCTTTATTTCTCCCCGGAAACATTATTCATTTGAACTTACTACCTTCAGTTCTTGTGAGGCAACTGCCCTGGAGACTTAGCTCCTCTGTTTATCCACAGAACAGATACAGCACGGGCAGCGGCAGTGCAAGCCACCCCCAGTCACCCCGTGCCACTGTGTCCCAACCCTGACCTGGAGGGACCAGCTCTCGGGGTAAGAGAGGGATTCTGGCTCGCTCAGCGCTCTGCCTCCCTGCTGAGAGGCCAGCAAGGGTGGTGGCTTCTCTTCCCTGGACTCACTCACTGCCCTGTAGGCCACTCCTAGACCTCAGCATACACACAGGTCCTTTGTCGCTGGCCCCAGTGGACGCCAGATCAGGTTGCTGCTGGGGAGGGCTGCTGCTCTGAGGTGTCGGCTCAGTCTCTTCTGAGTGATGGGGACGGTCTCTCTTTGTGACATCTTGTTTCTTATAACCCTAATTATTTCTGCTCTTTCGAGAATAATCTAACCAGCTCCCACCCCCCCGTTCTGCTAGCACTGTGCTGAGGGAAGGAAAGGCTTTAAAAAGGAAAGAAAAAGAAAAATCAGCTAGAAAAGGCTTAGGGAGGGAAGTAGAAAAAGGAGCCGTTTCTCTCCCGGGAAGACTCTTAAGGACCTCCCTCTCCCCCAGGAAACTCCAGAGGTGTGTGACTGGTGTTCATGCTGGTGTGTGGCACTAGAATGTAGTTTAACTTGAGCGAGCGTGGGCAGCTGGTGTGGTCTGTCCCAGCCCAGTTGTGTCTCCTGGAGCCACGCCAGCCGATGCACTAGGCGTTTCCAGGTGCCGTAAGCAGTGGAGTCCTCCACCTTGCGTCTGTGCCGGTTTTTTGAGTGGGTGTTGCCACCAGCCGTCACAGCCCTGAAAACACTACCATTGCCCTTCAGGATCTTGAAGCAGGAGCACCCTGAGCTGGCAGTCCTGGCCGACTCCGTTGACCTCCAAGAGTCCACAGGCATCGCTTCCGACAGCTCCAGCGACTCCTCCAGTTCTTCTAGCTCCAGCTCCTCTGACACAGACTCAGAGGTGAGGCCCTCGACCGCCCCGTGCCCAGGCCCTCGGCCGTTCCTGTAACATCGCCTTTTACAGCCTCACACCTGTGAGCTATATCTATGCAGAGGTGCTTGGGTGTTGGGAGGGTTGTAAAGCGGTGGCCTTGTGACCACAGCTAGCACACAAGACGGCGGTGTTGGGGCTTCGGTCTTTTTTCTGAACACAAAGCCCTTGTTAGAAGTTTCCACTATGGATGGTAGGTAACACAGAAGCCCAGGAACATGCAAACCCAGTGACCTGCTGTAGATAACACTGATTCAGGATGAGAGGATGCACACCCCATGGGTGTCACCGCCATCATCATTGATGTTTGCCCAGCCCAGGAAGACCATGTGCTCAATGCCCAGTAATTCAGAAAGAGAGAGAGAGGGGTTTTATCCAGGTGGAATTCTTGGTTTTGTTTATTTTGAAACAAGGTTTCTCTGTGTAACCTGGTTGTCCTAGAACTCCCTCTGTAGATCCCCCTGCATCTGCCTCTCAAGGTGTTGGGATTAAAGGTGTGTAACACCACACTGGACTTTTTGTTGTTTTTGAGACAAGGTCTCTCTACTACATAGCCCTGGCTATCTTAAAAATCACTATGCAGAGCACTTGGGAGGCAGAGGCAAGCAGATTTCTGTGAGTTCGAGGCCAGCCTGTTCTACAGAGCGAGTTCCAGGACAGGCTCCAAAGCAATACAGAGAAACCCTGTCTGGAAAAAAAAAAATCACTATGCAAACCAAGCTAGATCCACCTGCCTCTGCTTCCTGAGTGCTGAGATTAATGTTCTTGTTTTTTAGGATTTGATTTGTTTTGCTTTGCTTTTGTATTTGAGACAGTGTCTCTCTCTGGCTATGGTTGTCCTGGATTTAGCTCTACAAACCAGGCTGGTCTTGAACCCACAGAGATCTACCTGCCCCAGCTTCCTAAGTGCTGGGGTCCATTAGCACACCCTGCTGGCTCTTTCCTGTTGTAACACTCTGGTTTGAAATGTCTCTGTACACAAGCTTCACAGTGAATTTTGTCCTTTAGAAGAACAGGAAGTGCTCTTGGCCTCCGAGCCAATGTTACATTGATTTATCATGGGTGCGCCTGTGCAAGTGTTTGCCAGAGCACACCTGTGGAGGGCAGAAAATGGTTTGGTGTTGGTTCTCCCCTTCCATGTGAGCCCCGGGTCTTGGAGCTTAGGTCAAGACTGTTCCAATGGAGCCGTCTCTGTCTCCCAGCCTGACTGTTCTTTTCTCCCTGTGTCCAGTGTGAGTCTGGGTCTGAAGGTGACGGGACGGCACACCGCAGGAAAAAGAGGAGGACGTGCAGCATGGTGGGGAACGGGGACACGACCTCACAGGATGACTGTGTGAGCAAAGAGCGCAGCTCCTCCAGGTGACCGCGTGCGGCAGCTGTCTGCAAGGATGTGCTCGCAGCGTAGGCAAGGCCCAAGCCTGGGAGGGCAGCCCACCGGAATCTGCAGAACCAGGGAGGGTGACGCCTGAGAACGAGGACACTCAGAATGGGAATCGCAGCGTTTGGTACAGTGGCTTTTTATCCATGGTCGTGTCTTATCATAAGGGCAAAGGTGTGTGTGGTGCCGAGAACGCCCTTTCCCTATTTAATAAAACTCTCCATTTTATATCTTGAACAGCTTTCTTTGGGCTGCTGCCGTCTCCTTGTTCCTTTGCTGTGGTGTGTGTGTTGGGGGTGGGGATGTCTTACTGGTGTGAGTCCTGGGGGTGGCTGGAGCAGCTGTTGGGCTTAAAACAAGGTGCTTCAAAAGTATGAGTGAGCCCGGCGTTGGTGGCGCACGCCTTTAATCATAGCACTTGGGAGGCAGGCGGATGGATCTCTGTGAGTTCCAGACCAGCCTGGTCTACAAGAGGTAGTTCCACAGAGAAACCCTGCCTCGAAAAACAAAACAATAACAACAAAAAAAGTCGTAAGAAACAGAAAAACAAGACCTGGATCAAAGTAAGCCAGGTGGTGGTGGCTAGTGCCTTAATCCCAGCACTCAGAGACAGGCAGAGCTCAAGTTTAAAGCCAGCCTGGTTACAGATGGAGTTCTAGGACTGCTTAGGTAGGCTACCCAGAGAAATCCTTCCTAGGGATGGCTGTGGGACACAACTGGATCTGAGTAAGTAAACTTGAGAACCAAAAAGAATCTGCCGACTCCTGCCCCATGTATGGAGAGTGACAGGCCGGCAGTGGAAGGTGCCCTGTGTGCGCCTGGGAGGTGACATTGCTGCAGGTGAGTGACGGTCCTGTTGCCAGTTCCAAAGATCCTCTTCTGACCTATGCAGGCAAAACACACAAATAGAAAAGTTTTTTTAATCCAATAAAACAATCCCACTGAATATGGTGTGCCAGCAGCCATTGGCAAGCTAAAGTGGCAGGATCCGTTGAGCTCTACAGTTGGAGACTAGCTTGGACCACAGAGCACGGGAGGTTAGGTCAGCCTCTACTACATAACAAGTTCACTAGCTTCTTGTGAACAGCAGCAGCTTCTGCCTACTGAGCTCCACACAGGCAGGGGCCCAGGCCTGGGCCGAGTGAGATTCTATTTCAAAATGGGTTAAAATTGAAATAAAACAAGCAACCAAAGAAGAGATCTCTTTGCCACCAGGGGGCAGGATGAGGCACTAAGCCCATAACTGGGAGGTACAGAATCTCAAATGGAAAAATCAGCTCTCCAGGTCTCCAGCTGCCAAAGGTGCCTTCCAGTCACTAAACAGCACCAGGAATGGGCACCTGACCGCCGTGCATCTTAGTGTGTGTCCTTTATCTTTGCCAGGCCAGAGGTTCTGCTCCTGCCTCTACTCACTGTCCCTGAGCACTCCCCCGTGGAAGCAGAGCAAGGGCAAGCCAGAGGGGCTGAGGAGTAGATCGTGGCCAAGTACTCAGGACAAGGGGCTGGAGCCTCTCGCCGCTTCCCTCCCTTGGCCTGAGCTGGAATGGTAACAGAATTTAGCAACGCTAGACTGCTTTCTGAGCCACAGCTAGTCTTTGTTACGGAGCTGGGCTCTGGGCAAAGCAAGACCGTGGTTCACCGTCAGCCTGGTGAATCCCTCACCACACAGGTGCCTCTGTGGTCTTAGCCCTGTGTGCCTAGGGTCCCGTCCTGGAGGAGAAAGCCACCACAGGAGAAGCACTGGTCCCGGCTTGCTGTGTTTGCAGAGCCCTGATTCCTACTTGTTGAAGCCTTGAGCAAATCTTGTAGTGCCTGCAGGTACCTCAGGGGCGGGCCTGGGCCCCTGCCTGTATGGAGCTCAGTGGGCAGTGGCTGCTGCTGTTCACAAGAAGCTAGTGAGGTAGGAGGCTTGAGCAAAAGCATTACCGCATTCAGAAGCCAAGTGTAGCCTCTAACCAGGATGTAGGCATTAGAACAGCACGAGTCACCCTAGCCAGTGTTCGACTGGGCACAACACACTCTGGAGAGCAACCGAAGGTACTTGAGCTAAAGATGGGGTGGTTGCGTGTGCCGACGCTTCACACGGGTAGAGGCCTTGAGCTTTAGGCGAGAGAAGGGATGGAACGGGAAGGCAGCAGACGTAAAAGGGCGCAGGCGTGAGCATGCAGCTGTGGAGTCCTTAGTGTGCGTGGCATTCCACAGAAATGTTTGGAGTGTACATTCCAATGAGTTCCAGATAGGGTCTAACTCCTCGTAGCCACCCCCACATCCTTATCAAGATGATAACGTTTATTTCAACATACACTGTCTCCATCCCCAAAGTGGGGTCCCTCCCTTGTGGCTCTCAACTGTGTCTCCTTGTTTAGTTCAAGAACTTGAACCACTTATCCCCCAGGAATCTCCCCAGGGGGAGCAAGCCCAAGCCTGATGTCTCCATGGTAACTGGATACCTCAGAGGAACCAGGCAGCCCTGAGCACCCTAGTCTCTTGTAGTTAGAGTACTAAGCAGTCTGGGGTTTGTGTCTCTCTCACTGTGGCTCTACCAAGAAATGCGTGTGACTCTGCCGCTGGGGTTTTCAGCTCTTGTACGAGCTTGTTTGTCATTTCAAATAAAGCAAGGGGGTTTGGGATTGTGTCTTCTCATCCTTTCCAGTTCTAAGGTCAAGGTCCTTAAGATACGCTCTGTTAGCACAACAGTTTTTGCTGTTGTTTCTTCAGACAAGGTCTTTTTGTGTAGCTCTGGCCTAAAACCTGCTGTGTAGACCAGGCTGGCCTCAAACTCACAAAGATCCACCTGTCTCTGCCCCCCAAGTGCTGGGGTTAAGGGTTTTCAACAGGTCTTTAATCCCAGCGCTCAGGAGGCAGAGACAGGTCCATCTCTGAGTTGGAGGCCAGCATGGTCTACACAGTGAGTTCCAGGGCAGTCAGAGCTGTTACACAGAGAATCCCTGTCTTGAAAAAAAAAAAAAAACACATTTTATGTCCAGATGGACAGCCATGTTTCAGAAAGAAAAAAAACTTTAAAATAACATGCTTTATTCTTTTTTTTTTTTTGAGGCAACTAGCCTACAGCTGGCCTTCGACCCACCTGCCTCAGTCTCCTGGGTGCTAGAATTATATTGGGCTAAAAATACACCAGAAATAAATGGGACTGGGAACCGGAGAGACAGCTAATTGGTTAAGAGCAGCTGCTGCTTTTGCAGAGGACCTGGGTTTGGTTCTCAGCTCCCACATGGTGGCTCCCAGCCATCCTTAACTCCAGTTCCAGGGGATCCAGGCCCCTCTTCTGGTCTTCAAGGGCACCAGGGTCGCATGTGGCACACATACATACATGAAAACACATGAAAGCAAAACACTCATAAAAGTAGATAAACCTACGGACCAAAAACCTGGTGTTGTGAGCAGGGTGTGGTGGCTTACATCTGTAGTCCCAGCACTGGGAAGGGTCAGTACAAGTTCAAAGCCAGTCTGGGCTATTGAATGAAACCTTGTTAGTAAAAACAAAGCAGGGTGTGGTGGAGTGATGGGGCGCTCTCTCTCTCTCTCTCTCTCTCTCTCTCTCTCTCTCTCTCTCTCTCTGTGTGTGTGTGTGTGTGTGTGTGTGTGTGTGTGTGTGTGTGTGTGTGTGTGTGTGTGTGCACGTCCTGTAAGGACAAAAACCAGGAGCCTACAGACAAGCCCCTTCTGCGATGTATGGTTGAGCTTTTTTCCATCAACTGCCACTAAGAGAGACACCAGTCCCTTGAAGCCAGTGATTGTTGCTTTAGCTCTGAGCTCTCCCTGTTGCTGGGGATTTTCCTGTCACAGCTGGAACTCACAAGCTGTGAGTACTCTTTCTTCCAGGTAAATTAGCGCTTTGTCTGGGAGGATGTAGCTCAGGTGTGGTGCCCTTCGTTAGCGCGCTTGGGATTCCTTCCCAGTCTAGCATCCTGCTGAAGTTGGAACCCCACTGTGTGTGTGAGCCGAGACTGCTCAGGTTGGCCTTGAACTGGCCTCAGGAGATCTAACTGACTTTCCAAATAGCTGGGATTGCCGGGCAGTGGTGGCGCACGCCTTTAATCCCAGCACTCAGGAGGCAGGGGCAGGCAGATCTCTGTGAGTTCGAGGCCAGGCTGGATCGACAGCCTCCAAAACAAGACAGAGAAACCCTGTCTCATAAAACCAACAAAAAAAAAAAACTCAAAAAAAAATCCAAATAGCTGGGACTATAGGTGAGCGCCACTATCCTGGGATAAGTAGCCCACTTCCTTTCTGTTCCTTTGAGACAGGGTCTAGCTCAGTCTGGGCCCAGGCTGGCTTTGAACTGACCCTCTTTACTGAATACTGGGATTACAGGCTTGCATTAACAAGTTGAGTTTGCTTTTTTTACTTCTTTTTTTTTTCTCTGACAAACTTTGTCTGCCTTGTATTTATTCAGAGTAATTGGAAGGTGGATGGGGAGTGTTGGGGGAATACACAGTTGGTCACAGTGTGTTTTACACTTTAATCAATAGAGCCCTAGAAAAGATATGGAAAAACACGTCATTCCAGCCTCTTGCTGAAGCCAGGATGAGAAAGAAGCCTTCAGCAAAAACTCATGAATGCCACAGCTGTAGGCCATGGCTGCCAGTAATCATGAGAGATTTCCCTTGTCTCTTTGAGACAGGGTCTCATATGCAACCCTGGCTGACCTGGAACTTGCTATGTAGACCAGACTGTATTTGAACTCACAGAGGGCCGTCTGCCTTCTTCTGGAGTGCTGGGATCTCAGATCAAGGGCGAAAGCAACCACGTCCCAATTTGATTTTCCTTTTATGGCAATTAGTGTTCAGTTTCCGTGAACCTCCTCGGACTTGCCTCCGCGCATCTCTTCCATAGCGCCCAGATCACCAATGCTCTAAGATGAGCATTTTTGTGTGTGATGTGTGTTGTTTTGAGAGGGAATCTTCTATGGCCCAGAACTCATTGTAACTGAGGACGGCCTTGAACTTCTGATCCTCCTGCTCCCGTTCACTTTTCAAGTGCTGGGATCACAAGTCTGCACCACCATCTTTAAGATAAACCTCTGTACAGGGCTGAAATGAAGCCAAGCTAAAGACAATGAACAATGAGCCCTTCACCCCATCCAGCAAGCCCGAGCTGAGTCGGTGCCCCAGAGCATCAGCCAGCGAGGGGTGGGTTTTCCAGCGCCTCCCAAGGTCCCGGACTCGGAGTCACCCTGAGGGCGCGAGGGGGCGTGGTTCTAGCGGGACTCCGCCCCGGGGCGTGGCCCGATGGCGGGGCGCGGCGGGCTCCCTCGGGGTCCCGGCGGGCGGGCACTCGGCGGCCGCGGCGCGATGGAGGCGCCGGCCGAACTGCTGGCTGCGTTGCCGGCGCTGGCCACGGCGTTGGCACTGCTGCTCGCCTGGCTGCTGCTGCGGCGTGGGCCGGCCCCGGAATGCGCGTCCCCGACCGAGGCCCCCGGGGCTCCCGCGCCGCCTGAGCCTCCCGAGCCCTGCGCCCCGGAGCCCGCACCCGCGGGGCCGCGCCAGCCCGAGGGCAAGGCGGAGCTGGGGGAACCCGCGGCAGAGGAGCCTGCGGACGAGGGGAGGCAGGTAGGCACCCGGGTCCCCGTGGGGGTCCCTGGTAGGACACCCACGAGCCTGCCGGCCGAACCTCCCCAGGAAGGGCCGACCAGCGGCCGGCAGGAAAGGAGGGTTCCTGCGGCCAGGACGCTCCATCCTCCCCCAAAGTGGATCTGTCCTCCCTCCCGCCCTCCCTCCCCGCTCTGGCGTTCCCGGGCCTCTCACGGCCGTTGACATTCTGCTCTGCACCCTCCTCTCCTCCCGCCTTTGCCCTCCCGTGCCCGAATCCACCGACATGCACCCCACTTCCCAAAGGCCTGAATTGGAGTTAGCTTAGTCTTGACAACACAGCGAGTGCTTTGGGATGGGACGTGCGAGAAAGGAAGTTGCCTGTCTTTTAGGTCAACTTGAAATCCAGATTCCAGAGTCAGTGTGGGTGTCGCATGAGGCTGGGAGGGCTGGACTGAAAGGAAAAGCCTTTGCTGGGACCGTGTCATCGTCGTCCTCAGGATGCTTGTAGGCTTTGACGCCCCCAATCCCCATCCCTGGGTTGCAGATGAGCCCCGGCTTGCCTGGAATGAAAGGTGCAAGAAGCGGCCCGCCCCCCCGCGCCCCCACACCCCCCCCACCGCCCCCACCTCCCCGGAACCGGCCATCAGCTGGCCAGGCCTTCTTCAGGGTACCCCTCTTTCTCTGGTGCACTGTGGATTGCACCCTGGCTTGCCCAAGGTTACTGGGATTTCACAGAGCCAGGGCCACGCCACCCGTTCCGGTCTCTGGTCAGTTTGAACACTTTGTTCTTCAACCTGAGCCTTCGTCCCGAAGGACAGTGGAAGCCGTGGGCATTGCTGCCTTGGTGTGTGGCCAGCGTATCTGCGGGACCTCCTCTGTCGCTTGATGGACACAGTGGTTTCCACGGGACTGAAGCTCTGGGAACAGAAGAGGCGGCAGTCAGACTGGGCCCAGGCCCTTTCTCTTTGCTGAGTCTGCCAGACCCCTGGTAGCGGCTCTTTGCTTGACAAGTAGGTGACTAATTGTGTCATTAGAGTGGCTGTGAGGAGAGCTATTGTGTTCAACCCCGGGAGAATGGAATGCTCTCCGACCTGGGGGTTCCTCTCAGACCATCACAGACCCTCTCCACCAGCCCTGTTTCAAAATGCTCCCCTCAGCTCAGCATCAGATTCTGTCTAGACCAAAGTTAGGCACAGCCCCATCGCGATCCTTTGAAGTAGGCGATTTCTTGAGGAACTCTCTATGAGGCTTTTTGAGACACTCGTCCTGTAATGGGGTTATAGTTATAACTATAGTTATAGTTATACTATGCCTTCATTAATTAACCCAAGTGGGCATTTTGGATTTTTCTGGTTTTGGTTGGTTGGTGAGGTGGATTCTTGACTTGCAGCCTGGGCTGACCTGGAGTCCACCATGTACACAAGGCTGACCTCAGCTTCCCAAAGCCTGGTGAGAGACAGAGGAGGAATATCTCTCTGGGTTCAAATCCAGCCTAGCCTACATAATGAACCCCCCCCCATCCCATTCCAAAAGAAACAACAAAATGGAATCCCAGGAGCACAGGCGCACACATCACCATGCCCAGGCTTTGGAGGACAAGCTGCCCTGAGGGAACCCGCTCAACAGTAAGGCAGTTTCCTCATGTGGAGATCAGGCCCGATACCTGTGAGCATGGGGACAGACCAGCCCCCTGAACTGCTGCCTGAAGTGCCCGGTGGGCAGAGTCCCACGTGAGAGACACAGGTGCGTTTGGGAGCCCGTCCCTTCCACACTTCACAAGTGTGGGCTTCAGTGCTGGAAGGAGTTGCTTAGAAGTTGTCTCGAAATGGACTCAGGCGTCTCCAAGTGTTTCCAGCCCCTTCTTCTGATCACGCTGCCAGGGGTGGAGATACGCCCCTATATAACTCGGGGTTGGGATGATGTCCTCAGTGGAGGCCCCCTACACGGTCCCTAGGTGAAAGGCAGCAGCCAGGGATCAGGGCCCACCCCACCTGCTGTTGGACAGGAGCCACGGCCCATGAGAGGCTTAGCTTGACTCCCCACCTCATCCCCTCTTCATTTTCCATTAACTACCTCCCTCCTAATCCGGTCTGCTCCCTTCCCAGCGAGGCCTGGGCAGTCTGGCAGCTGCAGGCTCTGACTCACAAAGCTGATTACTGAAAAGGAGCCCAGGGAGGCGGCCGGCCTTCAGCTGCTGCTGGAGATCACTTGGGCAGCCCCCCCCCTCGCAGACTGGGTGCCTTCAAGGCCAGGAACCGGGTAGTGGGAGGAGACAGTTGTGGACCAAGGCCTGAGCGGAGGAGACTCAAGAAGCAGGGGTGAGGCCAGCCAACCTGAGGTCCGGAGGCCCGGCCTTCCCACTCCCCAGCAGGACTCGTATTATGAGGATGTGTTTTCATCTCTCTCGTGGGGATTACTTGGGGCTGGCAGGGCAGGAAGCCTGGTGGGCACACTTAGTTCCCGCAGAGAACTGTGAGGTAACAGTGTCTGGACAAAAGTTGTTCCTTCGTAAACCGGGAGCAGTGCTGTGTGTGCTGGGGTGTTAGGATGGCCAGCAAGGATGCTGTACAGGAAGAGTCCCGGAGAGGCCACGACATAGGGTCGTCCCTGGGGCTAGACGTTTAGTCTGTGCCAGTCAGACCTCCTGTCACGTGGGTTCTAGTCCTACTCAAAAAAACGAAATCTGGTACCCTGTATACTTGGGAGACTTAAGACTCGCTTGAGTCCAGGGTCAGAGGCCAGCTAGGGCAGCATAGCAAGACACCCTCAGACGAGAAGGAACACCACAGTAGGGGCTTTAAAAAATAACCCATTTAGGCCGGGCGGTGGTGGCGCACGCCTTTAATCCCAGCACTCGGGAGGCAGAGGCAGGCGGATCTCTGTGAGTTCGAGGTCAGCCTGGACTGACAGCCTCCAAAACAATACAGAGAAACCCTGTCTTGTAAAACCAAAAAAAAAAAAAAAGACCCATTTATTTATTTTGTTTTATGTGTATGAATATTTGCAGGCCTGCTCGCATGCATGCACACTGGCCTAGAGGCCAGAAGAGGGCGTCTGGTTCCCCTGGAACTGGAGTTAACAGAGGGTTGTGAGCAGCCTTGTGGGTTCTACCCGACAGAACCCAGCTCCTCTGCAAGAGCAGCAGGCGCTCTTTTTTTTTTTTTTTTTTTTTTTTTTTTGGTTTTTACGAGACAGGGTTTCTCTGTATTGTTTTGGAGGCTGTTGGTCCAGCCCGGCCTCGAACTCACAGAGATCCGCCTGCCTCTGCCTCCCGAGTGCTGGGATTAAAGGCGTGCACCACCACCGCCCGGCAGAGCAGCAGGCTCTCTTAACTGCTGAGCCAGCTCTCCAGCCCATGGTAGGGACTATTTTGCATATGGTGCTTGGAGTGGAACCCAAGGCTTAGGGCATGCAAAGCAAGCCCTGCGCTGTCCAGTTACATCTCCAACGCTGAGGCATTTGTAAGTGTTGTTTCGGGGCTGGATTTTTCTTTCTGTGTGAGTATTGACTTTAAGTTTATATGGAAAAATGTCTTTGAAGGCCAGAGGTGTCCCCAGTGGTAAGGCATTTGCGTGGTTTAGGTGAGATCATGGGTTAGACCGCTAGCACTTAAAAAGGAGAGGCCTGCAGGTAGGGCGATGTATGCTAAAATCTTTTATTGCTAATCCACTCTTTTTTATTCCGTGCGTGAGCTCATGCCAGCACCAGGCTAGTCTCGCCAAGCCAGCTGCCAGGCCTCTTGCTGCGTTGAGACGAGGCTTCGTATAGATTCAGGGTGTCTTGAACTCACTAAGTAGCCAAATATGACTTTGAAAATTTTTTTTGTTTTTGAGACAGGGTTTCTCTCTGTAGCCCTGGCTGTCCTGGAACTCACTCTGTGGACCAGGCTGGCCTTGAACTCATGGAGGTCCACCCGGTCTCTGCCTCCCCGGTGTTGGGGTTAAAGGCGTGCGCTGCCACCAACGCCCTGGAGGCCTTGAACTCTTGGTTTCCCACTTCTGCCTCCTGAATGTTGGTTGGGACTGACAGACGTGGACCACCACATACACTATAGCAAGTAGTGTGTTTTTAGAAATTGTTTTCGTATGTGAGTGTTTTGCCTGTGTTGCGTGTGTACCGTAGAAGTCAAAGAGGACGTCAGGAACTGGAGTTACAGAGGGCTGCGAGCCACCGTGTGGGTGCCGGGAATAGAACCTGGGTCCTCTGGAAGAGCACCAAATGCTCTTTACCACTGAGCCGTCTCTCCAGCCTAGAAGTTATCTTCTTAAATTGGGTTTTAAGTGCACGCGCCTGAATGGGCCATGTGGATGCAAGGGGCCTGTAGAGGTCAAAAGAGGGGTCAAACTGCCACGTGTGTACTGAGGGTTGAGCCTGGGTCCTCTGGAAGAGTGGTTAGCGCTGCTAACTGCTGAATTGTCTCTCCAGCCCCCATAGAAATTGCAGGCATGTGTCACCATACCCTAAGCATCTTACCCTTCGGTTGTGGGCAGAGGCTGCAGAAGTGGGCCAGCAGCAGGGCTCAGTGAGTGAAGGTGTGTGCCACCTACCCTGGCAACCTAGGCTGGATCTGCAGGGCCACATGACAGAAGGAGAGAACCGACTCCCACAAGTTGTCCTCTGACCTCCACTTGTGTGATATTGTGGCCACACACACACACACACACACACACACACACACACACATGCATGCACACACATGCACATACACTCTAAAACAAAACAAAACAAAACCCCAAAAAAACCAAAAAGCAAAAGACAATTTGCCAGGCAGTGGTGGCACACTCCTTTAATCCCAGCAGTCAGGAGGCAGAGGCAAACGGATCTGAGTTTGAGGCCAGCCTGGTCTACAGAGTGAGTTCCAGGACAGCCAGGGTTACACAGAGAAACCCCATCTGGAACTCCCCCCCCATAATAATACCATTTTTTATATTTTAAATTATATTTTATATGTATGAGTATTTTGCCTGAATGCATGTTTGTACACCATGTGTGTGCCTGGTGCCCTCAGAGGTCAGAAA